CCGGCGGCTCTTTCCTGCTCATGCATCGACCAGTGCGGATGTCCAGTGCGGATGTCCATGCCGCGCTTCCTTGGAGGCGACATGTGCGTGCATTTATTTTTAACCTCCTAAGTGGTGTCGTCAGGACGCTGGCCCTGGGGACACTGTGGTCTCTGGGCTTTGAGGGCGTCGGTCTGGGCAGCGCTGTCTGGGGTCATCCGAAGCTTGGGTGCTCAGCCAGAGTCCCCAGGCAGACGTCGGCCTCAGGCGTGCAGCAGGAGAACCGCACGGAGGCGGTAGATCCTGCGGGGAACTCGTGGGCACCTTGCGCGCCTTGGGAATCCACTTGCGGCGCCGCTCGGCTGGAGCCTTAGGGACCAAGCCGGGGGCGGCGCTCGTGGAGCAACAGTGCCACCTAGCGGTCACCGCTTGCGATTACAGCCCCTCCCTCGCGCCGCGTCGCCCACCAGGGAGACGCCACGGAGAAAATGAGTTGGTAGGAGCTCCTCGCCCCGAATAGCACATCTTTAAATAGTTATCCACACGAAGGAGGCCTGCAGCTCAATTCCAAGACACCTTGACGGGAAAAATCTGAGCATGCCTATATACGATAATGAATACAGACATAGGAATTTTTTAGGGATTTGGCGGTCCCCTCCCCCACCTCCTGCAGCCCAGTTATCGGTCGGTTACATTTTCCAGGAAAAACAAAATTAAATACATTTACTTAGTAGCTCCATTAATAGGAATCTGTATGCCACAATCTAACGCCAAAAAAAGCTAATCAATTAAATTTCCATTTAGGTGCTTATGCCTCCCTCACCTCAAAAAGAAACAAAAATAGAATTACCAACTGAGTTGGAAACAGACCAGATAGGTAAGGATCCCGCGTTTCTGTTCATCATGCCTGGCTGAAGACTTTGGCTGTATCTGTTTGTTCGTCTGTAGGATGGGTCGGCCGCGGGAGTGCTCGCCTGGTGTAGCAAGTGCAGGTTCCTTGTGATCAGGCCTCCTTGGGGAGTCCTGTCCAGGCGGCCCATGGGACGCCGGGACTCCACTATGTCCCTCTCATGATGTGACCCTGTGGCCCTCTGCGCACCCCGGAGCACCACTCCAGCCCCCCACCCCTGAAGACAGCCTTGTCCCTTCAGCCCACAGAAACACCCAATGTGAAGTGCGGTTCACCCCGCTTGTCTCTCTTCCCAAATTCTCAACCCTTTGATCCTGGGCCACCGGTCAAGCTTTAAAAGCCCCGAATTCCTTAGTTTCCAGCTTAGAAGTGCTGGGATTTTAAGACAGCAAACTTTTACCTAGGATATAAACTTACACGGCCTAGATAGCGTCTGTGGATGGATGGAATTTTTTTGGAATTATTTTTATGTTTGTAGGTAAAATAAAAAGCTACGATATAGTCTTCTAGAAATTTTCACCCAGTGACTGTGGCCATTTTTACGAAGCTTAGGAGCCAGGCATGGTGGCTCATACCTATAATCCCAGCTGAGGCAGGGAGGCTGACCCAGGAGGATTGTGGTAAGTTCAAGACCAGCCTGAGGTACAAAGTGAGCTCAATGTTAGCCTGAACTGCATAGTGAGACCCTGTCTCACACAAAACAAAAAAGAATAATAAAATAGAAACCTTAGGAAAAGTTATTCAGTGAGTGCTGTAAATTGTTGGGTTAATCCACACAAAATCTTCATGATTTGGGCTAAATAAAAATCATCAGTCATGAGGAACTGTATAAAGTATGGAACCCGCATGTCTCTGCTCAGAGAATTAAACCAGGAACAGCACTTAGCTGTTCAGCCACCCGTCCACTCACAGGTACTAACTCGGTGTCTGCCACCCACCGGCACTGTAGCAGCAGGAGATGGGACCCTGGCCCAGCCCTGTGGATTATCGCAGCGCTGTGACACACTGAGCATAAAAAGCACAGCCCACAGGAGAGCACAGTGGGGAGTGGGGTAAATCAGACACTTGCATAGTGCGCGGTCTCCTTCCTTTGAGAAACCCAAAGTCCACACAGATTAAAGGGCAAAATAAAAGACGGTTAGAAACCAGGAGACAGATCTTTTGCAAGTGAGAAGGGAAGCAAGAGATGGAAGAAGAGGAGGGAAGGGGATGGGAGAAGAACAAAGATGTGTTTTTAGGGACGTGGCCCTAAAAATGAATGTGCTCTGCCTTGAACTAAAAAAGAAATTTAAATAAAGACAATGTACACTGACTGCCCGGTGTTGAGCCCATCCTTATGCCACCATGAGGTCACAATCTCTGTAGAAAATTGTGCTTGTGGGACAGGAACATGTCAACCGACCATCCTTTCCAATCATAAACTGTCCAGAAGTAGCGACCTGTTCCTGAGTCCTTGTTTGCCAGAGGGGCTGCTCAGTGATGCCCAGGCTTTACCTCACGGGGCCTCCTGTAGCTCTGAAAGGGGGACTTTGGGGGTGGGCTGGATGAGACAAGGCTAGACACAAGGGGTAACTGGGCGGCACGTCAGTCCTGTTGATACCAACCTAGTCAGCACGACTGCTCTACATCCCAGAGTGGTGTGTGACACAGTCACTGAACCTCAGTCTGGTTGTAGACAATGAAAAGCAAACAGAGCATCAGTCAGCGCAAGCAGGAAATATGGTCCACACTCGAACACCCTGGGGATGGCACTGCTGCTGGGGCAAAGAAGCTAGCCGTGTCCAGCTCAGGAGCTGGGAGTGCGGTCGGTTGTACTTCCTCAAGAGGGAGATGTGCAGGGTGACTGTTGCTTCAGAGATATTTATCCGCATATTGTCTGTCTTTAAAGAAGGGGTCTTAGTCACTTTCTCATGGTGGGGATACAACAGCCAAACTCTAAGAAGGAGAAGTTTGTCTTGGTTCATGGTTTTCAGAGACTTCCATGCATAGCTGGCTGAGTCCACGGCAGGAAGCGTCTGGCAGAGATCAGCCGCTCATGCCATGGCAGACAGGAAGCAGAGAGGAGAGGCGAATCAAGGAGGGGGATGCACACTTCCAGGGGATGCCTGTGTCTGAAATGAACGGCACATTTGACTGTAAACTCTTGAGTGCGTGAATCTTCTGCTGAGCCTGGTGCACCCATGACCTGGTCACCTTCCAAAGCACCACGGCTGAACACTTCAGGTGTTGGAGAAACATTTTAGTTCTAAACTACATCAGAAGCAAAAATAAGTTTCATTTTTAAAATGTGTTGAGAACAAGAAAGTAAAAATTACAAGTCTTTACAAATGCTGAAGGTCAGAACTTGAGACGGTAGTAATATTTTCTCCTTAAGTGGACACAGAAATGCTTTCATCCATGCACATCTGGCCCATTATTATTTTACAGGTGTCTGCATGTATTTCATAATCAGTTCATCAGTGGTAGGCACACCAGCAAGCACGCTGAAGAATCTAGGGTAATGGTGGTGAACCTCAAGCAAGTGTGTTGTTTTTTCTTTTAAGGGAAACTACTGTAATGAATGTGCTCCTTTTTTCTAAACAACAGTTTCAGTATTTGGGTTGTGTGCAGTTGACATTCTGCAGTAAGCATGTGGGTTTGGGGTCAGAGTTTGGGTACTTGTTGCTAAATGGTTCACCATCTCTGATCCAGGGTTTCCCATTGCTCATCGTGTGTTGCCCTCAAGATGCCCCCTGATCTCAGACTGCAAGGGGCTGTAGCCATTGATGATGTATAGCCTAGGAGAGAGCATTTTAATTCTCTTTGTCTGATTCTGCATCTCCTTAAGGGAACAATCTGAGAACATGGAAAAATCTACATGTGTGTGCATTCAGGAATTATATTCATGGTCGATTGAAGGTGAGTAATTGTTTTAAATGGTAAAAGTTTTAAATTAAATTTTATTTATGAATTGAAACAAAATCTGAATTTTCATAAAGAACATTTTATAACAGTTTTACTGGATAAAGTCTGGTTAAAGATGTCTTTCATGTGGCTCTGACTCTGTAATAATGAAGATAAATGCCTCAGTTCAGTTTATTTTTAGTATAAAAATATTCTCCTCTTTGACAAATATACTTCACGAAAATGCACAAATCCACATGGAAGGAAATCGTTAGCTGCACTTCCTGATTTTTAGGTTCATGTTTCAATGCCATTCAGCAGTTGTACAACAGGACCTGTCGGTTTTCCTACATTTGTTAAACTTCAGTTATCAAATGTTTTCCCCCATTAGCAGTCAGTCACTTCTTCAAGTAAATTAAAAATTATGGCTTTTTTGAAATTTTCTGAAAGGTGCTCAAGACACTGTAATGAGTTTAGAAAGTGTTGAATGAAACTTAAACTTTTGAATAGATTTTGTGCAATTTGATGATGCACAGATTGGAGGTTTTGCTGTTGTTACTGACGTGCATTTGAAGGATGGAATCTCATCATGGTCACGTAACTCCCCAGCATTAACTCTTACACCCCATTGCTTCCCTTTCTCTATAAAGCCAGTTTCTCTCAGTAAGCAATCACTTTCTCATCCTATATTTTAAGAGCGCCTGTCTCACTTTTTGTGGCTGAGACAATACCTGACAGCTACAAATTAAGAGAGGCATTTATTTTGGCTCAGGTTTTGGTCCACGGTCTGCTGCTCCAAGGTAGGGCGGCATAGCACAGGGGCCTGGCGGAGGAGACCTGCTCAGAGAATGGCACCCAGCAAGCAGCGAGAGAAAGGAGGAACCCGCTAGAGAGAAGGAAACGCTTCCAGGCCCCACCCCCAGTGCCGCCCCTTCCAACAGGCTCCGCCTACTAGTTGCAAGGCAGCTCTAAACCTCCATCATCCAATCAGCTTCCAAAGAGCCTCGCATATGCGGACACCAGGCCCTGCGGTGACTTCTAGACACAAACCTTTACATCGCCAATGAGTTGAAATGATATACGTCAGGTCATTATTTCTGTGCATACGTATTTTAATTTGTCAGTGTTTAAACCCTGGCTGATACCATCTGTTCATCGATCTGAACTCCTTTCTCGGTTTGACAACTCCTCTAAGTACTGTGCAGTGCGATAAACAGCAAACATCTGTGTGCCATGAAAGATTTTTCATATGTATTCGCTGTGTCTGGGAAGTATGGTGCTGTGGTAAATGACATCGTGCTGGGAACCGCGCCAGGTAAGCGCACTCCATCCGGGGCCTCTGTCGTGGATGCTGGTCTCGTTCAGTGGACAAAGCGACTCTGGTTCCCCTTCCACAGTTTTCCTTCTAAAATATCGCTTTGTGACATGAATTATTTGCTATGTAACATGGTGCCTCAGAGCCATTTTTTCTTACAGATCACGAAGATTATTCTTCCTGTTTTGTGATTGAAACAACCTAGCAAGCAAGTGCTGAAGACCAGACACGTCATAGACACCTGGGATGTGGCGCATCGCACACCAACCACCCTCTAGCCAGAGAGGGTCATTTATTCATAGGTTACCTTTTCCAGTCTTCATAAATTTTAGGGTTTTTTGTTTTTTGGGGGTTTTTTTGTTGTTGTTGTTTGTTTGTTTGTTTCTGTTTTTGTTTTGTTTTGTTTTGTTTTGCAATGCTAGGGTTTGAACTCAAAGCCTTTCCATCTCTTTTTTATTTCAAGACAAGGTCTCATTAAATTACTAAGTTGTCCAGACTGGGCTCCTACTTAGACTCCTCCTGCCTCAGCCTTCCAGTCTCAGCCTTCCAGCTGGCTGATATTGCAGGCCAGCATCTTCATGCTCTGCTAGTAATATTTTAATTCACTTCCACAATTTTGTGCATGCCATGTAACTTTTCCTACGCTGCTTCAGCCAGTTTCATTAAAGCAGGAGGAAAAAGGATTTTATTAATTGATATGACATATTGTCCTTATCCAGAAAGAGAAAAAATCAGAAGAGATTTCTGCATGTACTCAATGACATGGTTTGTCTAACAAGAGCAAGGTTCTGGGTTCCATCTCTAGCAAAATACACACACACACACACACACACACACACACACACAAATTGCTTTTAGTAAAATGAGGTGACTGATAAAGAATTGCCATTGATTCTAGTGAGATTCTACAAAGGGTAGGATTGAGGAATGTGACATGTGTAGCGCTTTGGGTTTGGCTGCTCAGTATGGAATGATTTATTGTGTGAGAGCAGAACCTGCCTTGGTAAATGTGAGGCAGAAGAGGAAGGCTTACAGTTAACAATGGTGGATGGAAATCTGTGTATCGAGTAGTTCTCATCACGCTGAGTCTCCCTTGGACAATCACCAGACCTTTGTAGATTTTTATCCCTTTAGCCCAGCTCATGGAGACTCACCCTAGAACAGTCTGCGCCTGGCTCCATTCCTCCTTTGTGTCCACTCATCTTTGCAACACTGATATCCACAGCAACTCAGAGCTTTGTGCAGGAGCACTTTTGGTGCTTACCCATTTCGGAGGGCTGGGAAATTTAGAACTGGATAAAATAATCTGCAGATGCACTGAATCCAGCTCGGGAATCTGAAAGCGCAAGAGGGTGTGGGGCGTTGCTGCTGACACCCTGTCATGTGCACACCCATTCCGTGTGTGCACTGTGAATGTTTTGCTCTGGCATCAAGCAGAAGCAGAGCTCCAAGCGAGCTACTACACGGTTCTGCTCAAACACTTGCTATAACACCTCCATTTGTGTTAACACGGTTGATAAATTAGAGAAAATTTGAGAATAACTTGGGATTTGCACAGGCATGATTTCATTCCTAAGAATCACAAGGTGAACACAAGGAACTGTAGGAGGCTAACCAAAGCCTAGGAAGACACAAGTGAATATGCACACATGTACGTGCATGTGCACACACACACATACCTTAGCCTCCTCCAGTGTGTTAGGAGCTGCCCATACCTGCTGCTAGAACTTCCTCCCATTTCAGCCACCTTCTGTTACAGTTCTGTAACAAATTATCTTAGACCAAGGAGCTGTTGAATCACACACATATATTGAGTACAGTTCTGGAAGCCAGAAAGTCCAACACTGAGGCGGCAGTGGATTCATTGCCTGATGAGGGACTGTCCTTCACAGATGGCACTTTCCTGGGTCCTCATATGGTAGGAGGGTGGATGAGCTCCCCTTCGCTCTTTTGTAAAGGCACTAATCCCTGTGACAAGGGTGGAATCCTCATAACCTAATCAGCCCCCCAAACCTCTCCACCTAATACAGCCCCTAAGAACCAGTGATCAGTATGTGAAGTTTGGTAAAAGACAAATATTCCAAACATCCTGCCCTTCCTGAAAGCTCATAAGCTGCAACTCACTTCCCTGAAGCTGCCCTCACTTCCCTGAAGCTCATAAGCTGCAAACTTCAGTGTCCACCTCCTCCTGAAACATTAACCCTTTCCCACATTGCCATATCGATGGTAGCATTTTTGCATGCTTTAATCATATGGTGTGTAAAAGTAAGTGAAAATTACTATGAATCTTTGCATTTATCATAGTAAAGAAACATGGTCATTAACCTTTTCAAAGTTCTCAAAACACTCATCTTCCCTTTAAATACATATTCCATCCATTTTGGCAATGTGTCTTTTACTATAATAAGAATTTTTAAATTTAAAAATTCATCATATTATTCAGTTACCTCTTGGATACATCACTGCATGTTATCTTTATTAGGCTGCTATTTTTAAAGTCATCCGTTGACTTATGGTGATGCTTCCCTTGTTCCATTTTCCCCAAAACTCTGTAAGTTTTGTTGCCTGATGCTGCCTGCTGTGCTGAATTTCAGAACTGATTTTCTAAACTTTCACTTCTGGCATTTTGGTCTTTTCTATCACGTGTCATCAAAAAGCATCTCACACTGGGCTTGGTGAACCAGGAAGTTTCCTGAGCTGAGTGGCATGGAGCAGAGAGGCAAGGGTGGGGAGGGAAAGTGTGTGAAGCAAAGAAAACAAATCGCCATCCATGTATAAGTGCTGCATCTGCCTCAAGTCTGCTAATCTTCCCAACAGTCCCACCAGCAGGACACACAGGAAATGCAGCTCTCAAGGACTTTGGTGAAGGTCATGAGGCTCTGCAGCACAGTATCAACACCACCCAGGGCGACTCTGCATGACTCCCCAACGACCTGGGTACTGACCCCAAAAACGGCTTTAGAAAACCACTGCCCTCTCTTCTAACTTCTACCAGTCAAGATCTTCTGTCCCTCTGACGCTGTTTCTGCTGTGACCCGCGGTGGCTGTTCTGTCCACTGACAAAGGGATGAAATCAGCTCCTGGGAGGAACTTGTGTGACAGCTTTGGGGACAGAGCTCTTGCTACCAGATCTTCCTGTCAGTATAGCACAGCGCCAGCACCGGGGTGGCTCCCATCACAAGCAGATCCCTGGACTGCTCAAGGAGAGGTAGGGACACCTGGAAGCCACTGCTTCCACTCTCTGGGTTTTCCCTCCAGGGAAACAGATGTTCTCGCTGGCTGCTGGTCAAGTTGGCAACTTCTTCTCGCCTGGCAGCAGGCACTGGCTTCACACTTTTAAGGATAGTGTTTCGACTCTCAGTTTCAGTTTCTTCTGAGGAAGGATAGGAAGAGGGTAGGATGGGATGGGATGGGATGGGATGGGATGGGATGGGATGGGATGGGATGGGATGAGATGGGATGGGATGGGATGGGATGGAATGGGTTAGAAAGAAACAATAGATTAGAACTTGCACTGGAAGTGGAACAGAGCAGAGCAAAGCAAAGCAGAACAGAACAGAGAGAGTGAAAGCCATAGGCTGTATAAGGATCGTGATGTGGGATGGAGAGGGTGTGGCCGTCAGAGAGGCTCCCCAGGCCTCCCAGCGTGTGCACGCATGCGCACAGGTGTGTAGGTGGGCGGGGGCGGGTGTATGGGTCTCCTCTCCCCCACGGTGGCTTTCCACAGGCCAAGGCCTCCGCCTCCTCCCTGTCGCTACATGGTGATTCCACAGAGAGCTTTGGAGAGAGAAATGGAAACTGTTTTGGTCAATTGCCTTCTTTAGTCAACATTTTTAACAAAAGCACATTTTCCTCTGCACTTAATTTGGCACACCTCCTCAGAGCATAATTCATGCCTTTCCATTTGCAAAAGCAAAAAAGAAACAATTTATGGCGCCTTTTCCTGGATAGACAGAATCCCCATGGGGTTAAGCATTTTACAAACATCACTCAGTCACTGGCAGCTTTGGAGAATGAAAATCGCGTTGTAAATCATTTTTATGAAAAGAGAGCTCCTTAGGAGGCACTCGGGCTTTTACAGAGCACTTAGCTTCTCTGGGTTGCCGGGCCGCACAGTTGCCACGTCTAACTGAGAGACTCATTAACACTGCTAGAGACAATAGTCCTACAGCAAGCATCAGCAAACCCCTGCTCGCCACACGACCTTGAGATGTCACTGCTTGACCTTGGACATGTCCCTCATCTCAGCATACACACTGCAAAGGAAAAGTCCTCACAGTGACACTTCAAAACCTGTTGCCCGGTCAAGCATGTGTCCTGCTGCATGCCTGCAATCCCAGCCTTCTGGGAAGGAGGCTGAAGCAGGAGGATCACAAGTACTAGCCCTCCCTGGGAAAATGAGTGTCTCAAAAATCTAAAAATTCGGGAGGGCTGAGGACATAGCCCAGTGCAAAGGCCTGTGTTCAATCCCCAGGACTACGTGCTGTCCTCTTCCCACAAAAGATGCTGACTGACAAGTTAAGGTACTCAAAGACAGACACAGCGCTGAGGTAAACTGTTGAATGAGCTGTTGAAGGGCTAGACACGGGTGGCATACTCACAAGTCCAATATTTCTAACAAGCATGCAAGTTACATTTCTGGTTTTATACTTGTAAGAAGTGGCAGGCTTCCTGTTCTGTTGATAGTCCTTCTCTATTCCTCTCGCAAGAGAAAGACGACAAACACAAGAAGAGGCTGATGAGTGTGGAAGGGGGGAGAGGAGAAGGGATGCAGGCCAGTGTGCGGTAGGTGGCATGGACCTGTGATGTCCCCGCTGAGCACTGCATTAGGCCCTCACAACCACTCAGTGCAGTAGATTTTTTGCTGGGAAATCTGGAATTCACATGTAGATTAAAACTAAACCTCAGTATCTCGCCTTATAGAAAAATGAACACTAAATGGATCAAAGAGCTCGGCAGAAGACCTACAACTTTGGAACTGCTAGAAGAAAATGTAGAGGAAACACAGATATAGGTAGAGCCAAAGACTTCCTGAATAAGACTCCAGCAGCACAGGAAATAATAAATGGGACAGCAAAGCAAAAAGTCTCTGAACAGCAAGGGAACAACCAAGAGAACGGGAGCCATCTTTGCCAGTTATTCTTCTGGTAAGAAATTAATAGCTAGACTACATGAAGAAAATGAAAACTTTCACAGCAAGAAAAGTCTTATCAATGAATGATCAAAGATATTGAACAGACATTTCTCAAATGGCAAATAAATATATGAAAAATGTTCAACATCGTTAGCCATTAAGGAAATGTAAATTGAAACTGCACTGTGATTCCATCGTACTCCATTGAGAATAATTGTTGTCAAGAACACAAAAACAACAACAAAAAACAAACAAGCAAAAAAGAATATATAACAGTAGTAAGTGCTGGCAGGATGCATCCCAAAGGAACCTTTCCACACTATTGATGGGGATGTAAAGTAGAAAAGCCACTGTGGAAATTAGTGTGGAGATTCCTCAAAATACTGAAAGTGGAACTACCAGACAGCCCAGCTGTACCATTCCTTGGTATATGAATTAAAGCCAAAATGTTATAGGGATGTCTGAGTATTTGTGTTTCTTAAGTCACAATTCATAATAATCAAGGTGTGGAAACCAGCTAAGATGTCCAGCAATGGACCCTTGGATAATAAAAATGCGATTGATACATATGTTACATATATCATTCCTCTCCGTATGAGTCAAATTTTTATCACTGGGACACAATACCTGACAACTGCAAATGAAAGCAGAGGTTTAATTGGGCTCATGGCTTCCAGAGATGTAGTCCATGGCCTGCTGCTCCAAGGGAGGAGCATCACTTCAGAGGACCTAGCAGCACAAAGTTGCTAAGTTCACCATGTACAGGGAGCAGCGCTCTAGAGGAGGAAGCCTAGGAGCAGATTTGGAAGTGAAGGTCGTGCCTTCATGATCTGCCTGGACACACCCAGAAGTGTGCTTTCCTAGTCCCTTGGACACTCCTAAGCTAACTGGGTTGACAGGAAGTGTAACCACCATGTGCGCTGAGCCTGCCTTGCTCACTTGGGAGGCAAAGGTGGTCCTGGAACACAGCTCCATGTGTGAGGAAGTGAACAGGAGGCTGTGTGGAGAGACCTGAGCTCCTCACCAAGCACTGCAGCCCTCCAAGTACTCATCCTTACCATCACCTAGGAGAAGAGGCAGCACCTCACTCTGTCCTGGCACATGGTGATGGAGGCCGTGGGGGTGCACTCCTCACCCCCAGTCCATCCCTTTCATTTCACATCACCTGCTCAGGAAGTGGGCCAACTTAGCTAATCACCTACACTCAATTTCTTCCTCCAGATCCATCACTTTGTGGAGAGTAGAGAAGGTGAAGGTTAAAGTGACTTCCAGAATTGAATAAAAATCGTAGCCCGTGCAGAAAAATGTACCCAGTGATAGCCAGAAAAATGTACCCAGTGACAGCGATGTCTTAGAAGCATTTAATTATGCAGACAGCACAGTGAAGAAAGTTCTAGCTAGGTTCTAGCCTGAAGATGAAGCTCTGGCACCAGGGAGGTTAAGGTTGCACCACTTGTGCAAGGTCACATGGATCACCTGGCCAGGATGAAGACACATAGCCAGGACTCGTGTTCCAGGCTCTTATCCTCTGCAGGGGTCTGCCTCTGGTGTCCACTTGGAGTTTTAAGTGAGTGCTGGGCCCCAGTTGAAGAAACAGTGGTGTAGATGATGCGATTTAAGATGCTGTCAGTAAAACTAATGAAATTTCGTAAGAAATACATGAAATCCTAAAGGTGAAAATACTTTGCAAATGATAACATGTAAAGTACGACTGCTGCTGGTCACTGTTTCTTTCTTTCTTGTTAGCTCTTTGTGCCAAGGTCCCCAAGGGTCACAGCAGACTCATTCACCATTCAACCCCCAAGCAAGGCTTCTGCACCCTTCCAACCCCAGATGCACTGGCACTCAGCGTGCTCTCTGGCATCAAGCAGTCCCTGGGTGCAGGGAGGGTACAACTACGGCAGAAAAAGAGAGAACGCTGAATAATCAAAGCAAGATGTTCTGCTGGGGTGGGGCGACCCTGCTTATGATTACTGATAGCTCATGAAAAATCTTGGCGAATAACTCATGTTGAAAATAGTGATGCATTGTTATGATTTGAAAATGTCCCTCTCTGTGGAGCACGCTTCACACCAGGGAGGTCCCGGGAGTCATTCATTATACACAGGTTATGAATAATGAGGGAAGCAGGCTACACAAGGACCAGGAAATCCTAATGCAACAGGAAGGGTGGGCAGCCCCTGTGGCCTTGGTTTCCCCTCTAGAGTAGCTCTCTAGCAGACCCAGGTGTAGCAGCATCCTGCAAGGAAGCCAGCTTGTCTCCCCACACGCAGACCAATCTGATCCCCCTGCATGCTAACTGGAGCCTGGAATTCCATGCTGAATTTCTTCTGGCATTAGCAAAGCACTCATGCATCCCTCGGTGGAATTACAACCCTATTATGTGCAATTGAATATATATTACTCCTTATTTTCATATCATTAGCTTGGATAAGGCCATTTCTAAAGCACTGAACTATGGAATAGATATGCAGAGGCAGGAAAAGCTGAACTGGAAATCAAGATGCAAAACGTGAGTGAGTACAGCTGTATGTATTTTTAGAAATACAACTCTAGGTCAGGTAAGATAGTGAAACAAGCTACAGAAAGAACAAAGTGTGGTTTTACTGTTTCCATTCTGTCATCTCGATATCTGAGCTCCACCCCCAGCCTCACCCCAAACATGCAAGACCTTGCCCCTTTGTCTGAGAAGTGCAGGAATTTGGACTGCCTTCTGCAATATCAAGAAAGATCCCTTTCAAGAAAGAACAAGTCTCAGGGGCCAGACTGGGTAGGAGGTAGAATTCTCCCCAATCTATGTGACATATACTTTAGAAATGACAATAATATATGTCAGTTGAACTTGTTTAATGTTCAATGTTTAAAAAAATACCTAGAAGGCACGAGGTTGTGAGTTCGATCCCCAGTACAAAAAAAAAAAAAGGAAAAAGGAAAATAAAATAGACTACAGAGGAAAGTTATAGTCACTGAGGTTCTACGCCTGCCTCTTTATTTTCTGTAAATTGGGGCTATTTTTATTGCAAGACTGGGGAGCAAACCCATGACCTTGTGCATGTCGGGTGAGCACTCTATCACTGCATTTAAAGAACTGAGTGAGATTATGTGTAAAGGGACTAACGGTGACAAGGCTATGCTATGTGTGACTCTAACCACAGGAAACGATATTGGTAAACATGGTAAACTGAGGCTTCAGAACCAGCTTCTGTCAGCTCCTCTTGAAGGACATGTGGATGATGCTTCATCAGTAGGGAACTACACATTGCAAAGGATGCTTCTGCATCTCACACCTCAGGGCAGCATTGCTGTGAGCAAAAGGGAGGGCCCAGAAAGGCTGGAGAACGTGAGGTGGACTCACAGAACCACCTGGCAGGAGCAGGCAGATGCAGCCACATCTGGAGGACTGTTCCACACCAGCAGCCTCGGTGAACCCTATGTGCAAAGAGCAGGACAAAGTCAGGTTCCCAGCTCAACTTGGTGGCAAACAGAAGACAACCGGGCTAAGCAAAATAAGTCAGCCTAGCGAGTGAGCCAGGGGATTTGCAGCTACAGCACAGCTCTGCAGTTGTCCATTTTCTATGTCATCCCAGCAGCTGCCCCTTGGTGGCGTCCATGACACTTTGCCCCATGACCACTGTCCATGGGGTCCGCCAGTTAGTAGCCTTCTGATTCATAACAGCTCCAGCTGAGGAGACACGTGGAGTCCATGCAGAGTAAATGTCATGATCAGGGTCACGACCAGGTGTGGCAAGGAAGATCTGGCCAGGGACCCAGCCCAGCGTAGCTTTTGGTTGGGGAAACATTTTTTAGGAGGAGCGGGCTGTGATGTGAAGGAGGAAAGGTTGCTATGGCTTAAATGGAGAGTTTTTCTTTCTTTGCCATGATCTGCAATAAACCCTGCAGTCTGCTGATAGGAGGAGACCAAAACACAACTTCAATTTCCGTTCTGAGTCAGATTTTCTAGATACTCAGTTACCAAACTAGAAAGTTACGTTGGTAAGGCCAGGGCACAGTTCCCATGCTGTTTTGACAATCACACCCTTCAGAGGGTTGACCAGAACTCTGCAACACCCCACTCAGAAACACAGCATGACTGATTATAAAGAAATTCAGAGTATACTTCCCCTAAGAAAACTTTTCTGTCCTTCTCAGTTTTTCTGCTTACAAAACTGATGATCTCAAAGGGATGCAAGTGGTTAAAAAAAATTTTTTAAGGAAAATAAAGGGGACCTACAGGAAGAGAGATCATGTTGTATTGACACAAGCTGCCACCAAAATTACCTGGTAATTTACCTTGGCACTTGAAGAAAAGTGTCAGTTTACCATTGTCACATCAGAATGTCCCTCTGAGATTTGTCAGATGATGTCAGAAGATGCCAGCAAGGTTGTAGAGTGGAGGTGCCTGTCAGCTGGCAGCAGTATGCTGGATATCACACACCCTTACATCCTGTAATTAAATCAGAGAGCCAATCAGTCCATCTCTGCCTCCCAAGTACATGAAATGAGGATCCCTGCAATCACTGCTCACATGCGATTTGTTGCTGTCTCCCTCTGACTTGAGGAATGGCCACCAAAGAGACGTAAGTCTATCAGGGAGTTTTTTCAACCAGGGGATGCCATCAGAGTGAAGCTGAGGGGACTCTAAACAAGTTTGATAAATAAGGGCTCCCTGGTCTCCAGTCCTGCCTAGATGAATATAAGAAGAAAGGGTTTAGGACTTGCTTTCTGGTGCTCATATTTTTAAAGAATGGGACCCTACTTCATTTTCCATGTGACACATGCGTTATAACCAGTAACAGGCTGTGGGTTCTGCATGAATTATTAAGAATCCAGGGCAGAAAACTCCAGATAATTGCTTCAATTTTTCAATGGAGATGCAAGGTGCACCCTGACTGAAAAGATTTGAGATGAAAATCAAAAGAAAAGGAGATTAGACGGCACAGTCGTTAAAGGGATAGACCCGTTACTTACTCCAAATGCTAACGCGACCACTTATTAACTATGTCACCTTAAGCAAAAGCTGTCTGACTGTTCGGAGGTGTAATTCCCTTATCTGTAAAATATGGCTTGGCAGAGTCGTTTACAAATCCTCTCCCATCAGATCTTCAAGGAGGTGCAGAATATAGTGTGAGCATCTGGAGTGAGGGCCTTAAAAATACCATCTATTATCAAAACCCAAGCAAATTTAATAAATAGGGGCAAGCAAGAAACTTTTGTAGGATTGTAGAAAGGGCTCTGATTTGTCAAGAAGACATTTCACAATGTAAATGTCGTTTCTCCTCCTTCTTAATCTGTGACTGTGGGCCAATTAAACTTGCTGATAAATTTCCAAAATGGGTAAAATGGACCATGCTAAGAACGATCCCCACCTCTAAGGGGTAGTTCTAATGATCCAACAAATCATGCAAACTTCCAAGCAGCACTGGTATTCATGCCTCGAGCTAAAGCAATGCCTCATGGGTGTCCACAGAGGAAGAGGGGAGCGTGTGCAGGATATGTGTGTTGTCAACCCTTAACATCAAAGGACATCATGGTGACAACAGAGAAGTGTCCCAAAGAACCTCATGTTTGATGATAGCAAAGACACAGCAGCTCGCTGCCTCCTCCATCAGCCCTGCAATGCCCCTCAGTGATCCTTTCTGTCAGTCTGTCTGTCTGTCTGCCTCTCTCTCTCTCTCTCTCTCTCTCTCTCTCTCTCTCTCTCTCTGTGTGTGTGTGTGTGTGTATGTGTGTGTGTATGTGTGTGTGTGTGTGTGTGTGTGTGTGTGTTAGTGTGTGTGTGTTTCTTGCTATCTTTCTGTCTTTCTTTCCAACTGTCTGGCAAATCATACTAAGGAGGAACCTACCCATTCTCACTTCTGAGGAAGAGAAGCAAATGCAAGAGGGGCTTCCTTAAGTAAATGCTATGATGCTGTGGATAAATTCAGTGCGGATGCATCCAACATCAGCTGTTATATCATGAGTCTGGGCTCTTTGTCCATGCACACATGAGAATCTTCAGCAAATATCAGCATCTGACTAACTAGCTTATCAATGCCCAGACTAGCTAAGTAATTAGAGACATTTGGACTGATATAGAAAGAGGAGTCTATGGTCAGGGAAGTGGAGGCTAAAAAAATCACCCACCAAGTGAGTTTTCATAGTGTTCATTCCTCAATCAAATTCTTAAGTTTTAATTTTCCTCCTAACAACAGCCAATTCTGTTCAGACCCCATAAAATAAATTCAACACATCTCATGCACAACTAGGTATAAGATATATCGCTAGTTGCTACCAGAAAATGAGAGCAATCAGTCATTGATTTCATTCACTCACTATTATTCTGACCTTTTGAGTCTCTTCCATACAATCCCATCATGATCGTGCATGTGTGTGTTTACAGGCACACACACTCACATACACCATAACTCAACGCAAGTGGTCACTAAACCCTTGGCATGCCTTATTCTGGGATCTCAGCCATTTCTCCAAGGATGCAGTTTGTACACTGTGCAAAGCTCCATGCCTAAACATTTTCTCTTCCTCAAAGCCATTCCCCAGAGAATTCTGGAATCAAGAAGACATGAAGAAGATATGTCAATTCTTTCTGCCAGATTTTTTTTTCAAAAAATGAGAATGTTCTGTAAATGCCAAAGCACAAGTGTACCCCCCCCAAATAAATTCCACACAGATGAAACTGTGCCAAGGCTTATATTATATAACATGGTTTTCTCAAGACAGGCATGATGAGAGCTTTGAGTTCTGCCAATCAGTGAGATATATCTGAACAAATGATAAATAGAAAGCAGATTGAGAACATGCAGAATCCTGGAAAATAACGCACATCGATTCATAAGATGATGGAGCAAAGAATCTTTTTGAAATTTACATATAGTGATGAGTTAGGGCTAGAGATGTAGACCACTGGTAGAGCCTTTGCCCAGCATATACAAAGACCTTGGTTCAATCCCCAGTACTTCAAAAAAGAAACAAAGAGAAAAAAAAACTGGGTCCCACAATCCTCACTCCTGTATGAGCAGAAGACTTCCTACCAGGGAGCACCTCTTAAAGTTTCTACCACCTCCCTAAAGTAGTGTAAAGTTGTGGAGTGAATCTTTAGCCTAAGGACATTTGGGAGACATTACAGATTCCAAGCACAGAAGCTATGTTTACTTTATTTAGTATTAGGTAGAATATGAGATGCGTATTTCAGTACAAGCAATTACAAGAAGAGGACCATGAGTATCTAGTTAGTTCACTGCCCCTCCTACAAATATTCTCCTGTCTGTGTAATCGCTGGAGTAGCCCCACTGTAGACTAAAATCCCAGACAAGCTACACATCCCAGGAAGAGAAGCATGTGCTTTAGGCTAGAGGATAGTGTGCTAACAGGCATGAAAGCTGCTTTTTTTGAAAATAATACCTTCAGAGGGAATAGAGGGAACTTTAACAGGGCTGTAGACAAACCAGTAGGAAGGAAGTGGAGGTGAGAAATGAAACAGATTAGAGCAAAAACCCCTCTGTGTGTGTGTGTATGTGTGTGTGTGTGTAGCTGTCAAGGTTACCAAGAGGACCTGGCTTCATTCTGGAAGCCATGGTGCTTAAGAGATTAGGGCCACAGCCACCTTTCAGAAACTGACAAATATTCTGATCCTTCCCCAGAGGGAAGAGCACACATTCCTTCAAAAATGTGCACACCACCTGCAGTGTCCCACAGGGCATCTAAGGCCAACCTAAGGGCCTCCTAGTTTATAGAAAATGAAATAGTATGACACCAAACAAACAGGAAAATGACACATGGAATTAATCCATAACTGTGGGTGCAAGCTTCTGTGATGTACATACATTTCTGATATCCATGACTGCTGCTTCTCAGACAGTAAAATCTAAGGAATGATTCCCTTCCTGAACATCTGAATCCAAAACCAAATACCTGATTCTAACCAAAACTTCCATATGCTGTGATGAGCACTGGAGAAAAATCAGGCAACCTGAAACGCAGAGGTTTAAAATGAATAGGAAGAAATCAAGACATTGCTTTGTGATAAGATTATGGTGACTCTCCAGTTTCCTTAGCGTCATGATGAATTTATCAGTTCTATACTTTTGTTTTTATCTGCTTTTCTATTGCATGCTACTAGAAAAAAAATAACCAAAATCGAGAGTGACCGTTGAGGCGCTTTTATCCAAAAACAATAGCCCAAAAATAGATTTATTATGTAAAGGTCCAAATGAGATACTCAGATTTCACTTGTAATCTGAGTTCTTCATGGTAGAATGAGTGTTATACAGATCTGAAATTTTCCCTTTAATTTTCCTGCAAAAATATGACTTGGTTCTTCCCACTGGAAGCCACAGAGAACACACATATTCCCTGTGTTGTCTTTTTAAAAATCATACACTATTTACAAATGTCTATCAAAATCCAACTAGCCTTCAAAAAAGGTCTCTTCCCATCTATTATCCACCAAGGTCAAATCAAAGATCTCTCATTCCATTTCTCATCTGACCAGGGCCTCACTTCCCACCATATTGATTTTACTATACTAATTATCCAAATGGGTGCTTGGAGGCAGGTACTCCCAGGAAGATATGCCTATCTTATTTACAGCTTGAAACTTTGCGAGGAGACCCTCTGAGTCCATTTGACAAACAACATTGGGAAAATGGTGTAAATCAAAAGGTCCAGGGTTCTTTCAAGCCCAGCAGCAGGTTTATTGGCAGATTCTGCAATAGCCAGTCTTCCCTGCTTCTCCTGGGTAAATTGCACGAGCTGAAGTCAGCACTTTAGAGGTCAGAGTCACTCACTGTGAGCCATTCGTAATGTGAGTGGCAGTGCCGGGGCAGTCACCCGCGAGGGCACAGCAAGGGCACCAGTGCCTCAGCCACTCACTAGGACAGAGAGTCAATCAGGTGATGAAGACAGGACACTGCAGCCCGAATGGCTCTGATGGCTTCTGAGCAACTGAGTCCTGTCTTCTTCAGGGTCTCTGCATCCTGGCCACAGCAAAGGAGAGGGGAGGGACATGGGTGACGTCCTCCGGCCTCCTCCTCCCTCATCCCACACCCACCGCTCACTTTCTTCCTCTCTTCCATACTCTGGGAAGAACCCACCTCAGCCCACTGCCCCTGAGATTGCAGGATTCTCTTGGGGAGAGAACACAGGAGGCTCAGAGGCCTCAGACCAAGGGGAAGCATTGAGAATTTGGCCAGAGAGGGTGGCTGTGGCCTCCAGTCTGAGCAGGAGAAGGTTGAGAGAAAGACTAAAGTACGAATCCCATAGCTGAGGAGATCGAGAAACAAATATCAAAGGTGAAAGCCCAGGTGAAGAAAGTGGGGGGTCAATCAGTACCTGTGCTGCGGAGGGAGCTGAGGTCTCTATGCTTTCTTCTTGTTGAGACAGTGACCACAGTCCCTGGAAAGGAAGATCCGGACCATTCAAGGGATTTGGCTTAATGGAGCCCGCCCTGGGTGACTGGCAGTGTGACAGATATGCACACTTCAGCCCCTGCAGAGCTGGGATGTGAGTCCATCCCAGCTCTGCCGACTCTGCGTGGCCCACGCATGCTCGAGCAAAGCGCCTCGCAAAGACTCGGTGTTGCTAACACAGAAACTGTCCTCTGCAGGCTGTGACTGTCCACGGCTGGCACAGTTCAGCTTTACCATGTCCTCTGCTACCCTCGGTACCTACCCGCCTCCCCCCCCCCCCCCGCCAAGCACGGATGGGCAGCTTGCCTCAGCGTCCACCAGGTCTTCCAAGGACAGGAGATGCCACTGGGCTGTCAGTCCTGCTTGGGCTCTCCTCATCTGTCCTCCTTGTTCCTGACTCAGCCACTGCTCTGAGGGAGTGCATCCCCTAAAGGGAAAAATACCCCTTAAAGTGGCAGAGATCAGGGAGGATTTCCGGCCTGTTATTAAAGTACCAACCTCTGCAAACCCCAGTAAACTGTCGTGGACAGAAGCAGCCTTCCTGGGGAGACCGACCACTTAAAAAAATCTTTTTTAACTGGCATATGTTTATACCACATAGTAAAATGCATTCATCATAGGGAACTGATACAACACATTCTGACCCTAAAGTCTTCCCCACATTCCTAATCCACTGGTTAACTAAGCTGAACCACTTTTAATTCTGCCTGGAGTCTTGATTCTCACCTTCCCCATCTTTCTTTGGATTTTAGAGAGACAACCAGAAGACAGAAAACCCAAAAGTACTAAAGACAGCAGAGAAGTCAGATGTCTCCAGAAAATGTTCTATGGGGAACATTTCCTGGACACAGGAACTCGACTGACTGGGGTGTACCCTGCCTTCTGGCCTGACACCACTGAATCACCAATATGTGAGGCTCTTGACCAGAAGGGAAAGAAAACCTAGAGGCAAGCAGATCCAAAGTGTGCTTTCCAAGATGGCACCATCCCCTTCCCACCTTGTCATCAGTTTTTGAGGGGCAAGGACTGCTAAGCACCTCAACGGCTCAAGCCCTGCTCCTAGTGACTTAGCCAAGGCAGCAGTGGAAGCCATGGGCCATCTGAGGAAGGAGCCTGTGTGGATGTGGATAGAGAGAGTCCAGCGAGTCCCAGCGAAGCCTGCAGAGTGTGCATGGGGGAGACCTCAGTCCAGGGTCATTCCAAGGTCTGGGTAACAAGGCAGGCTGAGAGGGAGGTGACTGAGACAGAAAGACGGGCGAGAAGAGGTAGGGGCCTTTGCAATGCTCAGGAGGATGACTGAAGGGCACCTTGGCACCTGAAGGGCACTCTCTGACCTTTCTCAACCCCCACACCACTCTGGAGCACTGCACTGCCCTGCCCGCACTGAGGAAGCTCCCCGTACAGCTCCTTCACCATCGAGCCCTGAGGGAGGCTGACTCAAGCCAGGAAGCAGGGTAACTGCCTGCGCACCTCTCCGCACCCCACAAACCACACTCCAGCAACCAAAAGTGACAGACAGAGGGAGAGAGAGAGGTCCTGCGGGAGCTTCAGGCTGCACCCGAGAGGGGCTGCTTCATGGAAACGTAGTAGGACATCGTCCTGCTGGAAACAGCACTCAAGCATAGAGGTTCTTAAAACACCTGAGAGACCCAGCAGTCTTGGATGAGCCCGAGTCTCTACAAGGGCAGATGAAAAATCGTGAAATGAAAAAAAAAAAAAAATGAGAACAAATCAGAGCGACACACACGATAGAGCTCATGAACCATCAGATTGGCCAGGGTTCAAAACAGAAATAGAAATTTTTTCTTTTGTCTTTTTCCTTTTTATCGGTACCGGGGATCGAACTCACGACTGCCTGCTTGTAAGGCAGGCACTTATGCCACTGAGCTAAATCCCCAGCCCCAATAGAAATATTTTTAAAGCACAGTAACTGACAAGTGGCAAGATGCCACCTATGGATATGACAATAGGAAAGCACCCAGTGAGTGGCGTTAACATAGCCAGAAAGGTTGGATAATCCCAAAACCCCCATCATGGCTCCAAACTACAGAAAACTTCATTCTGTGTCAGTGGACTTCAGACACTGCCTTGGTTAATAGGGTAAGTGGGGATTCCTCAGCCTTGAATGGATCCTGGATCTCTTAACAATACCTTCACCAACTGCAAACATAATTAATTCAAAATCTATTTCTCGGCTCCCTTGTGTTCTAAATTAATGAGATTTCATGCAGTGTATCAGAGTTACCACTCTTTGTTTCTCCTCTTTTTCCTCAGATGCTTACAGCCCAAAGGGCTTCCAAATGGAAAGGGAAAAGACACCAAGACACTGCCGTATTCCTTATTTTTGGCAAAATGTTCAAGGCACACATGCTGATTTCGAAGCGAAGAACAAAACATAGAGTGAAGAGTATGTATTTTGGTTACACTATTTTTAATCAGACTGACTATCCACCATAACCATCTTCGAGTGGCCCAGCTTTCCTACTTACCTAGGACCTTTTGGGATCTGCTCCCACCTCTGACCTCTTAGCTTTCCACCCGCTCCACCCAGTCGACCACTCATACTCTAGCTAGAGCACACCTCCATGCAAATGCACATCCTTTGCTATAGGGCCTTGGCGAAACTCTTCGGTAGCTGCAAGGAGAAAACTCTGCATGATTTGCAAAGGTTTTTAGAATCTGGTGTGAACCATCTATCTCACCGCGGGCCCTCTCTTCCTGCTCTGCAGTGCTCCCCTCTGCCCAGCCCACCCTGGGTCGCTTCCTTTGCTCTGACTCCCTCTTGGCATCTTCCCATTCCTCCCAGATACAACTGGGGCTCCACTGCCAGCTCCCCAAAACAACACAGAACTCTGCTGCCCTGTGCATCTCTGAGTGTCCATTCGCTTTCTTGCTTTCCAGGGTTCCTGGGTCTGGGGCTACGTTTCATTCACTTTAATCATTTGTATCTAGATCCCATCCAAGGAGTGTTTGGGAAGCATCTGCTAAAGAAAAGGAAGGAAAGCAGAGGGAAAGGGCAAGCCTCTGTCCATCACCATGAGCAGGGTCGCTGCCTCACCCTGGTTCCTGGTCCAGGCCACAGAGACTCCCACATCCTGCCCCTGCATGTGCATTTTAAGGGGATTCCTGAGTCTTTTCTAAGGGACCGCTGGTGTCTGTGTGCACGAGTTTGGGAAACGCAGCCCCTTTGTGGCTGGGCTTTCTGGAAGTGTCCGTGTTGCAACACTTCTGATGGAGGCAGAGTCCTCTCAAACACAGCACCCACGCCTCAGGTTTGAACCACACGCCAGCCTGCAATATCACTGCTACTGCTCACCAGCACCTGAGACCATAGCCCTGGGTTCAGGACCACTTCCTCTCCCAGGATGAGCTTTGCTTGAGGCCCACAGCTTGCTCTCTGCTGGACCTTTGCAGCAGCTACCAGTCCACCTGCTGTGGAAGGAGGGAAGGGAAGAGCAGAAAAAGTGAAAACTTTTAAAGATAATTACCAGTATTGCAATGAATATAAGAGAAGCTAATGAGTTGTTGCATTCACAAACTGGATCAGATACTGAGTGTGCATGCGTGCATGTGCATATACCTGCATGCATGCGTGCATGCATGTGTGCATGCCTATATATGTGTGCCAGCATCTCTGGCCAGGGATGCACAATCCACAGCCAAGTGGAGAGGCAATTTCCCCAAAGAAGTCTTCAGCAAAGATCCTGCAAGCTCCCAGGCCTCGGGTGATTAAACATTGTGACACTGTCCACCTTTCATTGTGACATTGTCTCCACCTTTCATTTTTCTACTGTGAACACAGGAAAAGATCTCCCCTCTGCTGTCTCCCAACACCTGATGTCCCTGCCAGTGGGTGCTCTGAATGTGCTGATCTTTGTAATCCTTGTTCTTTGGCTGGAAAAGATCCTTGGACCTCTTTCATGATGGTGACAGCACTCAGAGTAACTTGAATCCATGTTCCAGGCCAATCGTTAATCTTATTTGGCTCAGAATGAGCTATATTCTTGTTATTGTTCTTTAAAGTACAGTTGGTATTTCACATCAATGAGCCAAATGGTAGAAGCTACTCAGTAGTTACTAAAAAGAGAAAATAAACAAATGTGGTCTGGCCAAACAATAGAATATTACTCAACCCAAAAAAGCAGTGTTTTTGTTAGTATATGATTGTAGTGCACAGTTTAGCTTTCTCACCTGGCCACACATACGAAACACATCCTAATTCTTCTTTTCATTTCCTTACCTCCTCTCCTTCTCTTTCTTCATCTCTTGATCCTTTTCCCTTTGTAAAAGGTCTGTCTCCCTGCTTCTTATTATCTAGCTTTTCTTTTGGTCTTAAAGTATAATTTGGGATTCTCATGTGGGAGAACCATGTGATACTTTAAGCTGTGTGTCTGATTTATTTCACTTAACATTATGATCTGTGATCAGGGAGCATCTATTTTCTTCCAAATGACTCAAGCCAATCCTTCTTTATGAAAAAGCAGTATTCTATTGTCTATCACACCACGTTTTCTTTGTCTGCTTGTCTCCTGATGGACATGTAGGCTGATTCCAAGATTTAACTATTAGGAGTTGTGCTATAAAAGTGGGTGTGCATGGATCACTGTAATAGGATGGCTTTAACTCTTTCAAGCAGACACGTAGGAGAGGAAGAGATGGTTCAAATGCAATCTCTGGTTTTAGTTTTCTGAGGAACCTCCATAACCGATTTCCAAAGTGGTTGTGCTAGTTTACCTTTCCAGCAATGGTGTTGAAGTCATGCTTTGAGAAAGGAAATCTTGATACATGCTACAACATGAAGTCACTGTGTGAAGTAAAATAAGCCAGGAACACACAAAAGATTAGACTCTACGACGTCTCACACAGTATGGGTCTAGAATAGTCAGGTTTGTAGACATGGAAAGCAGAACATTGGTTGCTAAGGGCTTGGACAGGAGGTAGAGGGAAGTGTTTAATGAAGACACAGCTTTAGTTTTGCAAAACAGGAAGAATTCTGGGGTGAACTGTGCCTGTCACTAATAAACTGTATACTTAACACAGGTCATGTCTCCAAAAGTGGCCCAGCCAGCACTGTGAAGTGTAACATGTAGCCAGAGCCATGTCACTCTGTCAAGAGCAAGACAACTTAGTGAATTAGAAGTGTCAAGTCTGCTGAACAGCAAAGGCCAAGCATCATATCAGCACAGACATCATCAGGAAAGTGAACTCCAGCTGAGAGAAACTCTGGGCAGTGCCCCACTGCTGACCAGTACAACCGCAGCTATCACGTCCAGTTTCCTCCAGCCTGCCCTGGAGTAGATCTCTGAATTTTAGGGTCTAAACCATGGCCTCTAGAGGGAGAAAAAGAGAATCACAGACTTCCTTAGAAAAGAAGGATCATTCCATTCAACAGGCTAACCCTTTCAGGGAGGGAAATAGCCAGGAAAGGACAGGACAGCCCCCAAAATTAGGGAGAAGGGAGGATGGTGTCCAGATTTTCCTTCTGGAGACAACACGAACTTCTGACTTTCTGCATGATTTGCAAAGGTTCTCCAGAAAGTCTAGACATTTGGTGGAAAAGGGAATGACAAAAAGTAAGTGCTTCAAGGTTGTGGAAAACCGCCCTGTGAGATTTAAATAGCCCTCTTAACTTTGTCTCCACGCTGTGTTATCTGACCTTTCCGCAAGTCCAGGAAAATCACAGGCTGATGAAATACAGAGTGTGCAGGGAGGATTCTGTCAGGAAGGAATGGAATGCAAAATTAAAGCCATTAGGCCCAATGCAGACTCTGCAAATAACAGCTGCCTAGGTCTACGCACAAATATTTTAGACATGTAAGAGAAGTCAGACAATCATCTAACGATTCTCAAAACAAATTCAGAAGGCAGATGATAGTATTAGCTTTAAGGCTCTAAAGCCAGTTAGAGCACTCTGATTACAGAGGTGGAAAATGACCACTTAAGCACTTTGCTAATTTCCCACCAGCTCTAAAACAGCCAGACTCCTCCTCACGAACTTCCTTATTTTGTCTTTTTTTTCTCTTCTCACTGCACTTTCAGTTCTCACTGTGGCTTTTGCAAGGTTGTGGCTTTGATGTGGCTCCACAGCAGTGAGAATCCACCCCAGCACCTACGCTACTTACAAAGTTCAACTTAGAAGATTTAAAATCACAGCTAAGTAAAAGACAAACGAGGAGCAGGGTTCAAGCCAGAGCCAGTGAGAGCCCAAGAGGATGTCACTGTTTGGATATTTTTGGTGGACATTGTTTGTTTTCTCTTTTGTGGTTTGTTTCTTTGTGGTACTGGAGGCTGGGCCCAAGACCTTAACACTGAACTATATCTTCAACTCCTTTTTAATTTGTTCTCTTGCTAAGTCACTAAGTTGTCCAGGGGTGACTTGAGCTTGCCATCCTCCTGCCTCAGCCTCCCAGAGTACCAGGATCACAGGCATGTACCACCATCTGGAGCTCCCTTGAGGCTCTCACCTGCCTTTCCTGAATGTGGAGGGCTCCAGCCCCAGGACAGCTGCCTGCCTTTCCAGCTGGGCAGGTGTGCACTGCACACCAAGTACTCAGCCTCTGACTGCTACAGATGTTACACACAGGGACCCCCATGCTACAGCCTCTACCCTGGCCTGTCATGCCCTGACCAGGGACTAGCTCGCTCCTGCTGGTTCCCAGGCCCCTCTGCTGTGTCTGGCTGGCCAGCCTGAAGCACAGTGAGAGAGGTCATCAGAGCAAGCTCACTGGAGGCTTCTTGCCCTGCTGGAGCTGTGGTTTGGGAGTGGGGGGTCACAGAGCCAGATCACTGAGTATCCAAGCCAGGGACGATATGGGCCAGCGATGTCTTCTAGGTTTAAAGAGTGGTTATTCCTGAAGCCAAGCATGGGAAATGCAAGTGTGATCCAACCACACAGAACGTATGCACTGAAAAATGTGTCAGTACCGTGTGCTAACTGACTGTACCACTCGAGCTCCTACGTATTAAAAAATGTATTGCAGTAAAAGCCAGTGCCTTCAAACCCTTTCAGAGCCCCTGCCTCTCACTCTGAGGACACCATCCCAACTTCCCTGGCCCCTGCTGAAACAATTCTGGAGTCCTCTTTTCTGGGGGCCTTTTTAATTCATGACAAAACCATAGCAAATGCCACTGGTAAGCACCATCTCATGTAAAGGCAGCTCATGAAAACATAGCATTTTGTCCTCATTTGCCTTAGTCACCAGATCTGGCACTGTGGGACTCCAGGCCCTTATCCTGAAGTCACAGTGACCATGAAAGGGAAACATTTTTAATCCATTCTGGATATGGAGGCAGCCAGGACAGCACAGCTAAAGACCCTCAGGAAAGAGGACTCCAGAGCTGCTGCGGGAACGGGCAAGGATGATGGGATGATTGTGTGCAAAGCCAAGGGGAGGATTTTGAGGGGACTCCTGGCCATGTGTCTTTTACTGTAACACACTTTTAAAAACATAACCATTTACCACATCTTTCAGGTTACTCTTTCTGGATAGAGAGAGAGGTAGGAGTGAACGCCCAGAATCTCCTTGGGCTTGGTGCCCTCCACTCCTTCTCCTTGGCCCCAAATCGCCCCAAAGCAGGGCTTGGCACGTGGTGGGATCCAGCCACCCCTCTTCATTTCCACCTTGAGGAAGTAAACCTGGGAAAAAGAAAGATGCCCATGGCGCTGCTTCTCCTGTCTCTTTCTGGCCAATTCTGGTTCTTCCACCAGCCCTGCTCACCAGAGACACCAGTCAGAGGGCAGCCCGCGTGAGAGAGTCACCTTGCCTCCTGGTCCCCTGTCCTCTCTCCCTGAGCTGTGTTCCAGTACATGTCTATTTACATTTAGATGGAGAACACGGTTCATTTGCCAAGGTACATTTCGGTAAGCAACAAATTCCAGGATGGCAGTGCATTTGTTACAACCAATTAGGAGAAAATTATCACTGGAAAGTGTCATACTTCTTGCACTGGGACAGAAGCCAACATGTGACATTTACGAGTCTTACCTCATTGGGTTCAGGGAACGGGGAGAGGTTTAATTCTAATTCAACAAAATACTTAATGCAAAGCCTGAACCTCTAGGACTATAAATTCCAGTGTGCAGACCAGAAGGCAGCCACTCTGGATATCCATGCCCCGACCCTGGCGGACAGGAATAGAGGCAGCAAATTAGACAGTTTTGAAAATACACTGACTTGACTCCAAGTCCCAGTTCTGCCATTTTTAAGACATGTGATCTCAAGATCATCCGTTATTAGCTGTGCATAGGGGTGGACACCTATAATCCCAGCATCCTGGATCGAAACTTTGAGCCTCGACTAGTCGACTGGATGAGACTCTGCTTCAAAATTTTTATTAAAAGAAGAGGGAAGTTGGGGATATAGCTCAGTGTGAAAGTTCTGGGCTTGATTCTCAGTACCTGAAGAAAAAAAAAGATTATTTTATTTTACATAGAATACAGAGATCTTAATATGTACCTTGCACCATTGTTAGTATGTATGTATAAAGTATCTAATTCTTCACCTGCCATGTAACAGTTGCTCAATGGGAAGTAGCTCTTCCCACCTCTTAGAGGCATTGAATAGTTATAAAAGCAAAAATGTATTATTTCAGCTAATCAGTATTTACTGCCTGCATACGCCCACTATTTTACTGTATCTTCAAAGTATTTCCAGTGCAGAACACAGCTTAGCCATCAAACGAGCTTCACAAGACCTATGAAGAAAACTAATGTGTATCTTAACACTAAAATAATTTCAGGTGGAGAATAAAATACAATTAAAAGAAGAAAGCACAAGCTAGAGGAACCATGGTAGATGATAAAAGCTGTCTTAAAGCTGGGAAAACTTTCTCGGCAAAGCATGAAAACCAGAAGCCATTAAGGAAATGGTGAAGACATTTCAACCCATAAACTGTGGTTACTTCTTCCAGAAAAAATACCACTCAACCAAACCGGGAAAATATTTACAGTGCATATAATGTTTTACTGATTCTTACAGAAGGAAGTCTTATAAATTGATATTCTCAAATGGCAAAGATTCAATAGGAGTTGGTGAAAATACAGAAAAAGACATAGACTCAAAGACATAAATGGGTAACCAGACTCATTCAAACAAGAAATGGAGGGGGAAGAGGAAGAGAGGGAAAGGAAAAATGAAAAAAAAAAAAAAACCCACCACAGTGTGATAGATCTTTTGCAAAAAGGAAGGGGGCTAAGAAAGAGAGGGATGGGAAAGGTATGAAAAAGAAAGAAGGTAGGTGGCAGGATCGGAGCGAGGACCCTCCAAGCAAGCAGAAGGATGTCCAGGGGAGCTCGTAGAGAGGTGTCCTTGGTTGCATTTTTTAAAGATGTAGACACCCACCATGCAGTGCCAGGTCACACTCTCTGTAGAAGAGCCATCTGCATTCCCACCTTGGCAGACAGCAGATGGCAGGCGAGCCTGGCGAACACCATCTCCGTGTTTCTCTTGCTGGCACTGACGGGCCTGGTCTCCAGAGGCCACGCACCCAGAAGCAAGGAAGTCTCCACAAAATATGTAGAACTCGGGTCCCTTCCACTTCACTATGTCATAGCAATCTGACCCAGCACTGAAACCTCTCTATATGGACTCAGTAGAGTACCGAGCAGGGGACCCGGTCACATGCTTCTTCCTCTGCAACTGGAGATGGTGTGGCACACCAGACTTGCCAGGCACAGCTATCTCTGCTCCAGAGAGCGGACTCTCAGCCCCCTCCCACCCCGGCCTCACCTCTCACCACACCTCTGCCTCCAGGTTCCTTAAACATCTCCTTGTTGTAGAACATTTAGCTTTATTAAAATGTTTGCTCCTATAAATTATGCTCAGCTAACTAATTCCTGGTTTGTTAACTTTTTATTGCAGTTCTAATTATGTCTTTAGGGAGATTTCTCATAAATAAAACTTTTATGTCAAAAGGTAAACACACTTAGAAAATTCTTGATACATTTTCCCAAATAACTTTCCATAAGGTTTGTTTGCATCTATTTACATTCCCACGGCAGTAGTAATTGTCAGGGATATTTTTCTCAGCAAGCTAATATGTTCTCTTGAAATATTTGTTAATTTTGATGGAGAGAAAAAGTATCTTGTTATTTTTAGAACCAGGTCGCTAGGATTTCAGTACTTTCCAAATATAGCAAATACTATTTAGCTTTCCTCTTTGGAAGGAAGGAAAGGAGATGGAGACAGAGAAAGTAAAGAGGAGACAGAGAGAAAGGGGAGGGGGCATCTGTCTTACTCAAGTACTTCCCAGGCTTGTTGTGACAATAAAATGAGATAATATATTTTAAATGTTAAAAAGTGCTACATAAATGTCAAGAGGGAAAAAATGGGTTTCATCACACTGACTTGCAGTGAGCACTTATGAATCCTATTAATTAAAAAGGCTTTTTCCACTCAGTGACATTTAACTGCACTATACATAATTCACATATACGGACCCTAAGAATCTGAGCTCTTCTGGGAAATCCAATAAAAATGGTGATAAGTGCTAGGAAAATTTTAGACTGTTGAAAAAGGGGATGTTAAGGTAAAAAGCACACTTAGCCCAGGTCTTAAAGGAAAAGCAGGACCCAGTTTCACATCATGGAGCCAAGCCATTTCCTGGAGCTGGGATGGGGACCTGGCTCCCACATGCATGACTGCTGTCACATGCAAGACAAAGGGCATCTGCATTCAGGGCACACCTTCCATTGAGAAGGCATAATACTTCTTTAAAGATAGACAGACAGACAGATAGATAGGACTATGCAAATAATTTGTATCTGTAAATAAAAGTGAGTCACTTTTATTTATTTAATTTTTAAAACTTCTTTATGTGACACAGAAGCCAAATGAGTGCTGAACTTAAGGATCCTCATCCACTCCCCACAAAGAAAGACCCAGTCCTCCTCCCTTAGATGCCAGGCCTCCCAGGCCTCCTCCCAGGCCCGCTGGCCTCCTTGGAGCTCTCTGCAGCAAACAAGCTATTCCTGTCACCTCAGCCTTTGCAGTTTCCACTGTCCCTGTGGAGCTCTGATGACCACTTGCCAAGTTCCCTCACTTTCCAGAGGTCTTGTTTTATATCTAGAAAGGAGGTGATTGGATCATGGATGTGTGATACACTCGATTGGTCAACTGATGAGTTTATAGCTAACTGTGAAGGGGAAGCCTGGTTGGAGAAGGTGACCACTGAGGGCATGGCCTGCAAGGATTTCCCTCCTTCATCCTCCGTTGAGCACTCTCTCTGCTTTCTTTCTACCTTGCCATGAGCTGTTTCTCCTCCACCAGGAAACTCTGCCTTGCAGATAGCTAACTGTGGACTGAAATCTCTGCAAACTGTGAGCCAAATAAACCTCTCCTGGGTGTCAGCAATGAGAAAACAACCAGGGCGATTTCTGAGCCTGACAGCCTTCCTGCAGTATCCCATGTAAAACACAGCTGTCTCCAGACTGCTTCCCCTCCCCCTTCATCTCCATGTGTGTCCACCAGCTGCCATCTTGCACACGTCCTGGTTTACTGTCTGTCCGGGAAGCCACATGAGGGTAGAGATTTTTACCTGCCTTTGTCTAGGTACTGTACCTTTCTATCAGGTACTGGAGAGGTTGTAGATGGAAAACACTTTGCACATTCTCACAGTGTAAACTAAACTGAGTATGGTGTCTAATGTTATTCTAGTGCTCTGGGGGGATGAGTCAGAGGGATCTCAAGGTCACCTCCAGCCTAGGCAACTTAGCAGTTGAGCAAGACCTTGTCTCAAAATTAAATGCATAAATGAATAACTAAAATGTTGGGCATATAGCTAAGTCGGGTGCTGGGTTCAACCCAGCTCTTTTGTTTTACTGTTGTGAAAAGAAATAAAATAAGTCTGTCACTACATAGAGTCTGGTCTCTGCTCCTCCTGCACAGGGAGCCTCACTCCATCTGGCAAGTGACCCAGGGCTGCACGAGTACCACACCAGGCGATATGACGTTGGTTATAAAGGAGCCATTTGTGGAAAAACAAGGAGTTCTCCAAAGGCACCGCCATGCACCCCTGAGGTTCCTACGCTCCTTTTCAGTTCCACATTTGGGACCGGGAGGTCTCAGTTGGCCAGCGTAGCCATGAAAGTTCGTAGCTGTCCTTCTCTCAGGGGCTGGAAATGCTTGGAGATCCAAATGTGTCCCAGGAGGAGAGAGGGGCAGCGGGAAGGAAGCTGATCTCAGAGACTTTTCCCACTAGGACTAAGATACAGCTGCACCCTTTCAGGTCAGCATCTAAGTTCACACTCAAACGGACCTTGGGGGCAAGTGATGATGTTTCCAGTTAGAAATTAGGAAGGCTGGGATGGTATTCATTGAGGTAGTACATCCGGACTGCACAGGTGAGAGCCTGTGTGCAAATCTAAATACCACAGAGCAGGGGAGGGAGAAGAAATAGGAGAAGGAGGAAGAGGAGAAGGAGGCAGAAGGATGGAGGGACAGAGGAAAAAAGAATGGAAAGACAGAAGGGAGGAAGGAAGGAAGAAACTTTTCTCACTGAAGTTAAATAACTTGTCCACAATCACAGTGGAAACAAGAGCCAAAATTCAGAATCTCAGTTCAGGACCAACAGATGTTTTGAAAAATTTGTTCATTTAATTGACAAATGTTTGCTGAGTTCCTGGTGTGTCCTGGGTACCGTTCTGGACGCTGAAATTATAACCGTGAGTCCGGCAGTCTCTTACTTCATGGTGAGTCTACTCTGGGGCACACATATAATACAGATACAGACACGGATGAAAATGCATACATACAGATAGGGACAGGTGTTGGTGTAGTTGTAGATATTACTGTAAATGTAGATATGGTTCTGGCAGGAGAGTTGTTATAGAAATTAACAGACTAATTCTAGATAGAGACAAATGGTTTTGAATGAGGGCCATAGCTCATACGGAGATTTGAGAAAGCAACTATTTTAAATTGTTTTCTATAAAGGGAGTTTAAGAGAAAGGCTAAACAAGAGAACCATGTGGAGTTCCAAGCGTGGAGAACAGAGGGGTGGATACATTAATCTGGAAGAAGCTCGGTAGGGACCATAGTGGTGCTATTCAGAGGATAAACTGTAGATGGCAGTAGAGTGCCGGATCAGGGTAGAGAATATTGCAACGAGGTCAAGAGCGCTGAACCGAAAAGGGGTGGTGGTCACTTCAATGCCTCCAGGGAACTGAAAGGTAATCCTTTTTATAAAAAGACCATCTACTTAATATCTTCAAGGATACAACCACCAGCTTACCAGAACCCTCACATGCAGGCACAAACATAATAAACCCTGTGCTACAATCCCAGTAAAAAGCATGAGACTCAGAGCCCTAGGATGAATTCTCTTGGCTATGCTCTGAAACCATGGCTCGTGGTATGAAAAGGCCCTTTGTGCTCTTGGAGTCTGGTCTTATTTTGCAAATCAACAATATGAAATCCAGAGACAAGGAACAACTTAGCCACGATCACAGCTCTACTTAGCAGGGAATGGTACGTCCAATTGCTTTCAACCAGGAATTTCTTCATTCATCAGTTCGCATTTGATAAAAGAAGAAGCATTAATCATCACCAGTTATAAGAGTGACTGGCTTCCTACCCATTTTTCCCCCTACCCATCTTTCATCACCAAAATGCATCTACAAATTCCTTAATCCTCACTACACAGCCTCCCCTCAAGTAAAAATAACCCAAAACTGTGAGCTGAAATATTCAGAGACATGGAGAAAATTCCTCTAAGAAAGTTCTTACATTAGATGTTGAAAGAAAGATTTTTGAGAGGATTCAAATAAGTTCACATTTCTTGATTTTTTTTTTTTTTTTTTTACTACAACCCAATTAAAACAAAAAAACAATCTTTCCAACCTTGGAGACAAACACAGAATGCATTAGGTCTGGAAGAGCTAATAGCCAAGTTCAGCCAAAAGTGAAATTTGATAGCTCCCTAAACACTTTCTTATTCTGGAGAAATGGGACACACCCTCAATTAGGGTCAAACAGCCACCACCATTAATATCACACATGCTAATAAAAACCTTGGAAACATCATGGAAAAGTTTGCAATGTGTTTTCGAAGCCATGTTATTTTGATGACTGCTCCATAGTTACAAGAGCTGGAACCTTGCAAAATCCATTAGCTGAATTCACCATAAGCAGGGCCATTTGCATGGGGGGCTATCTAATGAGAGGAGCTGGGGTGAGAGGTTTAGGAGCACATGAAGTTAGACACATAAAAACTTCAGGTCGCTCCTTAATCCTAGGCCCCAAATCATCGTGAACTTCATAAGAAAGAGAATATATGCATGGGTATCTATGTGCATAAACATATACGAACACAGACATATGCGATGTCAGATATGCCGACACAGGATTGCATTATCAAGGGCCCTGGAACAAGGAACTGTAGGGCTTATTTCTCTTCCTGAGTGCATCGGCTAATTACAAATTATGTGACCCTGAGCAAGACAGCTTCTTCTATGGGCCTCGTTTTCCACAACTATTAAAGAAAGAGAGTGAGTTCTATGACCACGAAGGTCTTTCTCTGAATATTTTTCTGACCCCGGGGCTATGTTTAGAATTCTTGAAGCAAGGAATTAGCCACTTTAAAGATTTGCTACTTTGACCTAGAAATGTTCCCTGTTTTGTCTTTTGTTTTTCCATTAGAACAGACATTTAAGTAAAAATGAAAGGGACCACTATTGCTTTTTCCCAGCGCAGTTTGTGTGGAATGAGAGAAGTGATTATCTGAGTAAGAGCGGTTCCCTCAGAAAAGCAAGCGCTTCCTCCCCCTAGTGGACAAGCCGTACATTTGCTCTGCATGGAATTGATTTTAGTCTTTATCCAACCAAATGAGAGAGAGAGAGAAAGAGAGAGACAGACAGACAGACAGACAGACAGACAGAGACAGAGAGAGGGAGGGAGGGAGGGAGGGAGGGAGGGAGAGAGAAAGAAAGAAAAAAAGAAAGAAAGAGAGTTTGCATAACTAAATCATAATCGAGAGTGAGTCAAATGCAATTTTATGCAGGCTTTCCCCAGAAATGTCTTAAGTTTTTCACTTGCTTGAAGAAATCCAAGATTAACAATGAAAACCTACAAAAATGCATTTAGATCAATGTGTGATCTCTAAGAAGAACACACAGGCCAATGAGACGTTTTGTATCTAATGTATGCCCACAAGCCTGTGAAAATCAATTCAATTATGACAATTACTGGGCCAAAGCAGGAGAGTACTTGGGATGAGAGAGCACTATACCGTAAAGCCACCATGCTCTGGCAAAGAGAAAAATTTTCAAAAACAGGCCGTGTCAGCAAGAGATGCCAATTTCAGTGCTGTTTACCATGGACTGTAGTCATTTCATATATGTTCTGCTGATTCCAGCTCCCTGCGACTTTGGTGATTTTGTTATAAGTTAATGACATCTTGTCATGCATCTATGATGGTCACAGGGGGAGGAGGAGGAGGACCTGTGCCCGTGTCTGCCTCCCCACAAAGGGAGCTTCTTACCTTTCTCCTTCTTAAAGCTCCAAAGGACCAGCCTCGGAAGAGCTCTGTACAGTTCCTAGTCTTCCCATGACGCCTGAGCAGCTGACAAGGTCTGACAGAATCTGAGAGAAGCATCTTTCCTGGAAGAAGCAAATACACAGATAAACACGTCCACCTTCAAACACAGTGACAGTGCAGGAAGAAGTGTAAACAAGCAACAGTTAATTATTTTGAAGATAACTAGAGGTATTTCACCCAATAAAAAAGAAGACATTAACAAAAATATCTCTACAATAAACGAGAAAAAAAAGGAAAGAAAAGAGGGAGAGAGGGAAGGACAGGGAGGGAAGGAATAGATGAAGGAAGAAAAGAGGCAGAGAAGGGAGGAAAAAGAGCAAAAGACTGAAATTTAGAAATTTAATAGCCAAAGTACAAATCTTAGAGAATTTTGCAGACAAAGTTGAATAAACCTGACAAAAATACAGTAAAAACACAAGGCGGTGGGGGGAAAAATAAGGAAATTAGAAAACTAATTTAGGATATCTAACATCAGAGCCATAGAATATACAACGGGAAAAAAAAACAGAAAGAGATGAGAAGAATTTGTTAAGAGTACATGAAAGCTACCAAAAACTCAGAGATATGAGTTTTCCAGCTGAAAAGACCCATCATATGTTCAGGAAAAAAAAAAAAAACGCATGAAAAGACTCCCACCCCAAAAGACACCATGATTAAATTCAGCTCATTCTGAAATTCAGCACCAGACAGGCAAATAGAAGACTGTCCATTCACAAACCAAGATGGCCGCAGTGTGTCAGACCATATTGTCTAACGTGATCGGCACACATTCCGTCCATCACTGACTGGAACACCGCTGGGTGTCATGTGGGTGCAGCTTCCTAATTCTTGCATGACAACCTCCCTACAATTGGGTGACTTTTCAAAAAATAGAAATTTATTCTTTTACAGTTTTGACAGCTAAAATGTCAAAATCAAGGTGTCAGTAGCACTAGGTTCTCTCTGAGACTCAAGGCAGACTCTTTTCTGCCCCCTGTGAGCTCTGGTTATGGCTGTCATTTATGGGGGGTTCATATTTCAGCCACATCATTCTAAAAAGGTATTTTATCATTATGTGGAATTACTGTGTGTGTCTCAGACTCACTTTCACCATTTATAAGGATGTTATATGGGTTAATTATCAGCTTGATTGGCTTAAGAAAGAAATATCTAGGAGGTTTGTAAAGCATGCTTCTGGCTGTATCCGGGTGGGCGGATCACAGCCGTGACCTGAGGACTCTCTATGGTCCCTGGCTCCTTCTAACTCTCTGGCTCCTTTCTCTGCTACTCACGGCTTCTGATGAAGCAATTTCTTTCACCCATCCCTTCCATCATGTTGGTTCTGTCTACATATGGACTGAAACCTCTGAAGCTGTGAACCGGAATAAACCTCTCTTCAAGCTGCCAACTTTTATGTACATATTTTTCCCAGAAATGAAGAACTGGTCAGTACAAGGACCCTTGCCATACTGACTTGAGGCCCAGTATATCCAATATGCTCTTGTTGTAGCTTGATGATATCCTTGATGAAATATTGAGGCTGTGTTTCCAAATGTCATTTTCTGAGGTTCTGGGAAGATCGTGAAGAAGAAGGTGCTATCTATATAGCTGTGATGTGCCTAACCATGTTTTTCTTTGCACTTATAATGGGGTGCAGACAGTTCACTGGATCTGTAAACTTACGTTTCTCCATACTGTGACACACTTCTCCATACAGGAAACATATTGTTTCTTCACATATATTTTCTTTTCTTTTCCATTTTCCTCATTTAAGATCACTTGAGCTTTGCTCACATTTTGGAGATTATTTAGACTAGATAGTTTTTATTAATCAAGCATTTCAGATTCTTCCTCTTATCTATTCTGCTAGTGATTTTAATTTTAGACACAGTGAGTTTTAGTTGTATAATTTCCACTAGATACCCTAGCTTCTATTCCTTTGTGATTTTTATCTTTTTGTTTTTAAAATTTATAAGTACATGCTCCTTTACATCCTTGAGTATAGCTAAAAAAAGTTGCTTTAAAATTCTAGTCTGCCAACTTTTAACACCCTGGGTCCTTATGGGATTGATCTCCATTAAGCAATCCATTGACTTTTGATAATCTATTTCCTGGTATCATTTCATTTTGTGTTGTGGATCCTGAGAGGGTTATGTCATAGAAACGCTGGATCCTATTGTTTCCCTAAAGATAGTTGTCGCTTCTCATGTTAGCAGGCAACTAACTTCATTAGACTCCATCTGAAAACTCCCCATGGGTAGCCATTCAAACATCATCAGAGTTACTTGATCTTTTCCTAGAGTCTCCCTGAATATCTGTGTGGGTTCATGGGTCAGTCAGACTTGGGCAGACTGCAGATATGACATCTAGGATATGTCTTGTTGGCTGTCATTTTGCAAGAATGGTCCTGGCTTTACAGTAACCTCCTTTTGGAACATAAAGACTATGGATTCTGACTAAATTTTATAACATTTTCATTTCCTCCAGACCTCACAGGTGTATGCAGAAGTTCAGATATGACACAAGCTTACTCAGCCACATCAGAGGTAGAAGCAATGTGGGTCATTTGAGCAGAAAACATGTCAGCTGACATATGACTAATGTAAGCTGTATCATGATGTACAAACACCAAAAAGAAGAGGAAAAAGAATCTGACTTAGAAAATAAAACTCCAGAGCTGGGCGTGGTGGCTCACGCCTGTAATCCTAGCACTCAGGAGCTGAGGCAGGAGGATCCTTGCGAGACCAGCCTCGGCTACAAAGTGAGCTCAAGGTTAGCCTGAACTGCATAGTGAGACCCTGTCTCAAAAAGACAAAAAGACCAAAAAAAAAAAAAAAAAAAAAACCCTCCATGAAGCAAACAAAACTCTGCCAATCAGAGTATGTTTGTATTTTTCTCTTTCCTGTTTCTACATAATTAATTCAAACTTTCCCATACCATGTTAAAAATGAATGCGGATTTAACACCAGCAAGCCTTAACAGTTTTATTTGGAAAACCATTAGAGATGGAAGGGAATAGGTCTTTCAGTATCATACTCTGGTACCCACAGCACCCACTAGCACCTCTGAGTGCAGGTAGCAGGTAAAGATCAGGGACAAAAGGCTGACATCCATGTGTCACTTCCCCGTGCCTTCTGCAGTTGGAAGGGACCCAGCTAGCTGGCACCATCCAGCCATAAGAGAGTCATAGCAGGGTCCTCTGCAGCCAAGAGCTGAGCTCAAATGCTTCCGCTACGGAATAAAGGGAGAATCAATCCTTGGGATGACAGCAGTGTCCCTCAGACACAGAACGAAGTTCCCCGCAATGAGCAGACCTGTCAAATGCATGCCTGTCGTCAGTGTGAGCAGGGAAGAACTATCCTAGCTGCGGCCGCTCATGTTCGTGTTACGTGTACAAAGAATGGCTTATTTTTTTAAAATATCTTTTTGCTAAGTACAGTGCAGAAGTGACGCGTAAAACACAACAGCCAGGCTCCTTCCCCTGTGAAAGCTCCCTGACCACAAATTCCACACAGCTGCCAATTCACACCCTCCAAATTTCCACACCAAATTCTTCCCTATATAAGAGTTGTGCTATATTGAAAGAATGTGAGGCAGGGGTACTTTTCAGGCAACTCGATGTGCAACTGTGGCAATAACGGCATGGTCTAGAAAGACATCACAATTTTATTCATTTGCAAGGAGCCCAGAGAATGAGATAGAAGGGAACGATCTCAGCTGTTGGCCTCAGCTTCTCCACATGTGTAAACGAAATCAATGATATAATCAGATACCACATTAGAACCTTAGTGCTTTTTATTAGCTTAAAAAATATTTTCAACCAAAATCAATTACATATTTACAGACATACATATGTAATTCCTTTCAAAATTGAGTGTCGACATTACACATTATTAGACTTTAAGATTTACAGAATAAGCCTGATCAGGAACTTTTCATTAGTTTGCAGCAAAGTCTTCTTAAGAAATGGCAGACAGGATTAAAGCATAGTATTTTACAGATTCATCTACCTGGGGATGGGAAGGAATTTTAAGTGATCATCTAATTCAATCCCCTCCTTAAGACAAAGAACTATTATCCCCTTTTAGGTTAAGCAACGAGAACGACTAATGTGAAATGAAGCAGCCAAGGCCAGATAGCACTTCAGGTGCCTGGTTTTTCAGCTACTTCTTTCTCTAGCCAACCAGACCTCAAAGCCGACTCCATGTGCAATCATTAAGACATTCGCGTGAGAGATAATTTACTAAGAAATTCCATTCCAGGAACCACTGTGCTTATTGAGTGAGATAAATTAAATTTGTGTAATGAAAATACGCAACAAACATTGCATTTAGCTCCTTGGCTCCAATTTTAATTAGTGACTCATAGCTCCTACCCCGAGGAAATGTATGATGTAAACATCAATATAAATAAATTGCTGGATCGGCTAAGTGAAATGAATCCAGTTCAGCTCAAACTGCTCATTACATTCACAGCCATATTTTAGAGAGAAGAAGGGAATATAAATAAGTCCAATATAATGACAGAAGGTTGGTATATTTGCAGGCAGAGCAGCTTGGGTTGAATGGCTTTTGATGTAATATGTTAGACTAGGAGACAAGTGAACAAAGCTGTGAGCTTGCAACATGAAGTCGATGCATTCTTTGCAAGTGTCCCTTACCCGCCAATGGAACCTGTCATGTCCTGGACAGCCAGGGCAGGGAGCTAAAGGAGACATGGCAAGCCCCTCACCATGGCGTGCACCAGGCTCAGAAGAAGTCAGCTCTGGCCACGTGGGATTCCCTCAGCAGTCAGTAGCCAGGAGAACAAGCTGCAGGTTTTCTGCTGAGGGCAAGGATCTTGCTGGAAGCTTCTGCACACATGATGCTTCACAGCTAAGACAAAGCTCTCAGAAGTGGGTAGTAACGGGGCTCACAATGTACTCCAAGAAACGCCACCCACCGGCTAGAACAGGCCCAGTCACAAATCGGCCAGGCCCAGCAGCCAGCAGGGAGGACCGCAGCTGGAGGAGGAAGGTGAACATCACCCTGTGCCTTTGATTTTCTCCATGAAATATTCTTGTGCAATGGAAATTCAGGGACACTGCAGAGCACAGGGCGTGCATTCCAGTTGATCAGGTGAAACTAATAACAAGAGGCTCTGATCAAGTGTGCCACTGCCTGCAGGACCTCTTCTCTGGAGGGGCTGGCGTCCACCACGTGGCAGGCTGGGTTCTCCATCCTGCGGTAGGACAGCTCCACCCTGAGGTGGGAAGAAGGACACAGGTTGATTGACCTTTTCCACACCATCGTCCCCACAAAGCTGATTTCTGGGTTATGATATAACCAGCCTACAGCACAAGCTCCCCATCCTCCTCCCCCTGTACACTCTGGCAGCAAACTTTGCCCATGAGAGATGTTTAACAGGCTTCATCACTAAATGATAATAATGCCCTGTGTTTAATGGCTGGCATTTCCCAGATGCCTATGATCTGCCACGCATTACTATCCTATCCGATTTTTGTTAACTCATTCTCCAAGTAGCCTTAGGAGGGACCCCGGTGCCATTTCACATTTTGTAGAGAAAGCAGGACAGGCTCAGAAAAGGTAAATCGAAAATTTCTCCCCAGTCTACTTCTCCAGTGATCTCTCCAGAAGCTGACATTACCTCCCCAGCCTCTTGTAATTCTTTACCAAAGCCTTCAGCTCCTCACTGTGGCCAGCGCCTAACTCTGGTCCCTACACACACAGATGGCAGCGGAAGGCAGAAGCTCGGTGGACCTTGTAGCTCAAACAGAAGCCAGGGGCTGTCACCTGCATTGCTACCTACTAGCCAGGTGAGCTGGTCACATCCCTTATCCTCTCTGACACCTGCCTCCCTTTGTCACCTGCAGATCGAGAGCTGAAACAGCACCTTCCTTGTGGATGTACAATAAGGCTTAATTTAACTGACACAAATAAATTGCTTATCCTGGTATCTTTTTCTACAGCAAAGTGGTTTTGGGTTTTGGTTTGGTTTTGTGGTCCTAGGGACCGAATTCCTAGTTTTTGCATTAAGCTATGACTGCAGCTCTTAGTTAATTTTTTTTATTTTAAGACACAGTCTTCCTGAAAGTTGTGCAAGCCAGGCTTGAACTTTGGGTCTGTCTGCCTCAGCCTTCCAGAATGCTAGGAGTACAGGGGTGCCTTACCAAGCCAAGCTCAAAGTTCTCATTTTTATTCATTGTATTATGACGTTACTATATCATGGAAATTCTATTGGTATTTATTTATGCAGACTACTTTGGCTTTAGCCTCTAAAATTCTGTGCTATCAACTGAGACTTACAGGGCCTCAAGCCACTTTTCCAAGCTGGTCATTGTAACTTTCTTCCTTTTTTTTTTGTTTTTTTTTTTGTTTTGTTTTGTTTTGTTTTGTTTTGTTCTGTTCTGTTTTTTCAGGGCTGGGAGTAGAACCCAGTGAAACCCAGGGCTTCACACATGCTAAGAAGCTCTCTTCCAGTGAGAGACACTCAGGACCTGATGATGTCACCAATTTCTAATTAAAATAAACACAGTCTTTGAAGTCAGGAAGATGCTGACTTCAATCCCAGTTTTACTACTTCATGGCTTTGGAAACTGTAGCAGATCAGCCCTTTAAGCCTTGGTTACATAAACTGATAAACTGCTTTAAAAACTGATAAACTGTTTTAAAAACAAATGGCCAATGTTGTCCTTGCAACAGTGTGGCAGAGTGCCATCATAAATAAAAGGTGTAAGATACAGCAAGCACCTAATCTGTAAAGCTGACTCTGAGCTTGTGCCCTGGCGCTCACTTTGTGCCCAGAATATCATGACCGGGGAGACTAAAGCAGGAGTGTTTCCTGTCTTGCCCATGTTCACAGATAACACTGCTGTGGCTCTGAGGGGTGACCAGCACACAGGCAGAAGTGGCAACAGGACATGTCGCCCTGCACTAGCAAAATGACACCAGGACATTTCTTCCCCCTTCCCAAAGCCAGGGCTCACCCAGGCTCACGGAGACACCTCACCCCCAGGGACACCTACTTCTGACGAAAGATGCTGTTGGCCTCTAGCTCGGCCTCCTCCCTGGTCTTCTCCAGGCCCCGGCCTTGCAGCCGCTTCACCCTCTCCTCAGGACTCACGGTGAGCAGCACCACCAGGTCGGGCCTGAGAAGGTCCTGAGGCCACTGGTACACGGGGTCGTGGGCTGGGGGTAGGTGCTGCAGACCCCCACTCACCTCGGTGGCAATGGCATAGGTGGCCGTGCTGTGCCAGTACCTGGAAAACAAAAGGAGCAATAAAATCTCTTCTCCGGAACAATTTAAAAGAGAAAATAAGCAGGGATGAGCAGGCTTAACACAAAGTCGCCTTTCAGTCAAAGCTGCTGCAAATCATGAGTCTGGACTCCAGCACCGTTTCAACAACACTTTCCTGTTTGGGGAGGTAATGGCAGGCAGGGGCGTCACGGATCTGTGTGGCACTTGCTTTGGGCTTAACACTGGGTCTTGGCCGAGTAAAACCCAGGACTTCCCCAGGAAGTCCACTGTTGCATTTGGGGTTTGCAAGCAAAACAATTTAATTCAGGACACATAATTTATAGCATTGCTTTATAATGGTCACCCAAAGAATCAAACACAGAAAGCGTAGGAAATCTGTCCATACACTAAAGACCCAAAAAATCCAGCAGAGGGTCTGGATCCCATGGCAATATCATCCTGCAAGAGCCCAGATGGAGGCCTAGAACCCATGGCAATGTCTCATGTAAATCTGTTTCATGGATCTGTGCTGGGAAGGCCCAAAGGTGAAGGTGGAAGCCAGAAAGTCTGTGCTAGTGAGGTGAAGGAGCTGTGCCCATAGTTTGAGGGAGCTGCACTGAAGCCAGGAAGCAATACTCAAAGTATGCAATACTCAGAGCTCCTCTGAAAAATACCCCAGGCATCCTCAGCAACAAGAAGGCCCTGAGCTCCTCTGATGATGATAACAGCTGAGTTCATATCAGGAAGCCAGCGTGACAAGCTTCTCCTAGAGACTGAACAGCACAATCTTCCCCTCCCGGAGCCAGGAAGCAGTAAAGACCAGAGCTCCCCCAAAGTAACTGTAGCCATTCTCAGCAACAAGGTCCCGAGCTCCTCTGACAATGAGAATAGCTGAGTTCATGTCAGGAAAGAAGCTCGACAAGCTCCTCCAGGAGAACTCACAGCAACAGGAGATCCAACAACACCACTTCTTCCTCTCCAGGATACCGTTTTATGTCATTGCCAACAGTCCTCAGGTGGGCCCTCTGCACCCAGCACTGCACTGATTCAGTTCAGCTGGTTGTAAAGCTGACTTCCAGTTGTCAATCTACCACATCCATAGGAAGGAACATGGCTAGAAGACCCCTTTGTAGGGTTTCATGCACAGGGAAACAGAAGTTCAGGAAAAGAAAATCACAACCATAAACAAAGTCACGCCAGCCACTATTCCAAGACACCCGGGGCTTTTCCGCTGCACATGGGAAAAGCTGCAGCCTCCTTGGAAGGAGCAGAAGATGCGTCCAGCCAAGAGCAGCACTGAGCTCACACCTTCTTCTCCAGCAAGAGCCACTGGCCTGCCCAGCCACTCCCGTCCTCTTCCCTCACAGCAGAATTCCCAGCAAGGAGGGCAGGACCCAAAGTGCTCTCCGTGCCCCTTGAGACCACCGAGGAGCTGCTCACTGTGAGACCTGCCCATCTCCTCACTGGAGCAGACCATTCGGGATGTCACATCTTTGTCTCCTCTGTCAGCTCCTTGATGAGGCTTTCTAGTCATGTCTGAAAGCCACATCTGGTGCATAAGCAGTACGCAATAAGGATTCCTTGGATGTACAGATCAATCGTGAACAAATGCAAACTATTTCCTCTACTGCTGCGGCCAATTACACCCTCCCTCTGCTCACATCATTACCCAATTTTAATGGACTACATGCAAAAACTTCAGATCTGATATCAAAGGACTACCGCTTGTAACAAATACTCATGGTGTAACTATAAACATCCTGATGAGAAAGCTATTTTCAAGGGACTACTTTAATTCTCTAAGATGCTAAATTCTTAATAACTCTAAATGTGAACTACTTTTCACAGTGAAGCAAACACAGTGGTGCCTACACAGTGAACTCACTGTGGTGTACAAATCAGAGATTGTTTTACCTTCTCCCACCCACTGGCTTTGTGGACATAGGGTAAAAGTCAATTAAGTCAATGTGGTCTCAGCTTCCACATCAGGAAACCGGAAATCATGCAAACTTTGTTTTCATTCCAGTTGTAGTAGAAATAGGCCAATGCTTTTAGAAAAGAAAAAAAAAAGAACGGCCACATGTCACTATAAGACAATGCCCAATGCTTACTGGACACTGGTTTAACCAACGCTGTGACGTTGGAAGGCTGCTAAGACCAGGAAGACAGTACTGAAAAGAACAGGATGGAAACTTAGCTGGGAGCAGGTCATCACAGCCCTTGTGCACCTCCCAGTCAGCTCTGAGAACTGCAGGCCACTGCAGGGCCACTTCCCAGGTTCAGCCTGGACCCCTCCTGTGGGTCACTCAGCTGGCTCACGTTTTACAAACCTGTCCTTTCACCTTCTCTAATAGATGTATGAAACATAATCAGAAAATAAGGTGAATGTTTAAATTCTTTTTAAATGCACTATTATAAAAGACCCATTGTTATTTATCCCCCTCCAAGTCCTTTCTGTTCATGTGGAACATACTCATCCCACCATCCTTGCCACTTCCTGCAGCAGCTCTGGAATTCTCTTTCCTGAGGGTCTGCAGCTGTACTGTCCTGGTTGCTATGAATCCAATCAAAATGTCTCCCTTTTATGATTATTTTGACTTTAGGAAAAAGCCAGAAGTCACACAGTCCCATATCCAGTGACTGAGGGGGGCAAGGACACAGTGTCATGTTTTTAGGAGCTGCCTTTCTGTGGGATGGTGCTCAGCAGTCACTGTGTTTGTGATCACACCTGGTAAAGACCCTCAGGAAAGAGGCCTCCAGAGCTGCTGCAGAAATTCACAAGGAACGGGATGAGTGTGTTCCAGGGTGGGATTAAGGCAATGTGTCTTTTACTCTAACAATTTTTTTTTTAATTTAAACATTCACCATATATTTCTGTCACCCCTCATATTATATCCCAAGCTCAGTAAATCTACCAGGGTCCAGGTTTTCTTTTTCTCAGCAGCAAAACTACAAACCGCCATCTATCTACACTCCACATTCACTGAACTAAATAAATACTTAGTATGAAGACAGAGACTGATATGGTAACTTTAAGCCTCCTTTACTGTAGAAAAACCATCAGCAACAGATATTGAAAGGTAATAGGATGATTATATCACAACCCCCAAATACAGTTACCATCACAAGTTGCTGTACCCCTCCCTCAGGGCATTTTATGCCAAGGATTTCACTAACCCAACCCACCCAGACAACACAGGGCAGCTCTTCCTGTTCATCTGGCCAGAAACTACCATCTCTTTACAGCACCGAATGGCAGATGGTTCACTGGCCCAGAGAAGGAAAGCCAGGGTTAAACCAGGTGCCTATTTTCTCTGTCTTTCTTTTGGGCAAATCCGAAGTTCCTTTCAAATAATCACACTCTTCAGCCACCAGTTTCAGCGTCCTCTCCCCACTTAGCCTCCTCAGCCCTGCCACCAGGGAAAGCGCGCTGGTTGGAGTCCAGTGCAATCTGCCAGCGCGGCACGCAAAGCTTTCATAGTAATGCATTATATTTTGGCAGTGTCTCGCTATTTTCTGCTTGCTTCTACACATCCTCCCATGTAATACACATCGCATGTCTAGACTGCAGGCAGAGAAGGGATCACCAACATCCCCATTTGACACTGGAAGGCACTGAGCACAAGTTCCTGGCTCCATCCAGAGCCTAGCACTGAATGTGCCTCAGGGAAACCACAGCACGCTAGGAAAAGCTTAACCCTTCTTAAAATAAAAATGACTGTGTGTCAAAAATTCACTCTGGAAAGAGGACAACCAGAGCTGCTTCAGAAAGGGGCAAAAATGAGGTGGCAAAGCTATTTAAAGAGTGCAGGAGGATTCTGAGAGAGATTCACAGCAACCTATATTTTGCTGTTACAATGTTTTGAAATTTAAACACCGACCATATGGCTTGATTCCACCTCCTACATGTACCAGGAGAGTGTAAAAGGAAGTGCAGGACAACACAAAGAGATCCCGGGCCACAAGGGTCCTTTGAAAGAAGTCGGGTTCAAATAGCACTGACAGAGCGACTGTATTTAAAGGCAGGTCAAAAACAACCAAGCTGAGCTGTGCTGACTGCGGCAGTGGTGAGCACATGATGAGCGGCAGAGAGGAGTTGGTTTATGGGGCACAAGGCCTTCGTTCTCCATCAGGGCCCAGGTTACTGGGATGTGGTCACCCGAAATTCCTTGAGATGCCTTAAGATGAGCAGAGGTCCAACTTAACTGCAATTGCTTACCTTTAGAAAAATTTGCACAATTGACACTTGAATGACACAAGAAATGATGCTATGCAGTGAAGCCCTCTGATTTCCTTATCAAGCTCCCTTCTGGCTTCCTCAGTGGGTGCTCAGACTGTGCAGAGCATATTATTTTATGCATATTCTACTGAACAGCTTTCTACAACCTGATTTCACTCAACGTGGTGGTTGTGTCATTCATATACAACTGCAGTATTGAGGAAGGAGATCAGGGCTGAATCAGCTGGATAAATGGCAGGGTGGAATGTGTCACAAGTCATAAAAACATGGAGGACACACAAGAAACACAGGACCCAAGATGACTGGAAGGCCTGTTTCCAGTGCTGTACAGGAGCCAATCAGAATGCAGTAGCTTCAATCCCTCATTTGAACGTGGCGCTATTGGCAGGGCCAATTGGAAGATGCTATACTCAATCACTCAATCTGCATATGGACACACAACCAATCAAATGCCCCAGATCCTGGTCCTTCATTTATATCTGCCTACCAGGTAGGCAGTCTTCCCACAGAGCAGTTTAAACCTGGTGCCAGGGCAAGTGAGCTTTTGATAGGATGACTGTCTCAGATGCCTTCAGTACATGAGGGAGAAGCCAATCTAAGAATTTTGGATATAAAAGACTCTTGTCTCCTCACCCTTGGGGCCACTGTGGCCTGTTCACCAGCTCACTCTTGCCCTGGAGAGCCTCCTACTTTTCCACCTTTAATAAAGGTACACCTTTGCTGTCTGTGTGTCTCTGTGTGTCTTGCCCAATTCTTTGCTCAGGACACCAAGCACCTGGAAAGAAGACCCATAAGACCCCCCCACCCAGTGACAGAATTGCATTCTATTTCTAAATACACGATATTCTCCTTTCCTGCTGTGGATGGGCTTTGGGTTCCTCAGAGGTGTCCCTGCTATAAATAAAGCTGGAATAAACTTTGGCACGTGTTTCCAAGGTGAATGGAAGCAAACTTCTCTTTGCTGCACGTCCTCACCTTGTTCGGTAAGAGACCATGCCAGCGCCCCCACTAGCCCACAAGAGAGTTCCTGTGAACCCTGACTATCTCCAACCCCAGATGTTAGGAACTTCTAATCAGTCCTCTTTAACCTCACAGAAGCAAAATGCAGTCTCACTGTAATTTCTGCCTCCAGAGTCATGGTGATTTTGAGCTCAGTTAAAATGGAATCTCACTGTGGTTCTCATTTCTGTACTCCTGACTTTGATCTCAGGGTGCCTACTTCTTGTACCCTTTCTCACTCTGGCTGCACTTCAAGCTGCTGTATCTCCTAGGTGGCTCACCTGAACTCTTGCAATGGCTCCCCAGTGCATTCCCAAAATAATTCCCTCCTGTGTGTGGCTTGAGGACCCCATGTTTTTCTTCCCATTCCTCCAGAAAACACAGCATCAACTTATGCCAGTCACTCTGCAGCCCTGGAGTGTTTATGCTTCTCTGATATCCTCTCATGGATTCAGTGTTACCTTCTCCTGCCGTGCATGGTCATCATGCTCCACCAAAGCTGAACATTGTCCACCATACTAATCACTGATTTCCCCGAACCGAGAAGTGTCTGGCACACATTTGGTGCCCAAAAAACCTTTGTCAAATGAACCCGTGAACAGAGGAGCCACTAAACATACAAATTTACAAGGCAGACGTGTCATTAATATCCCCAATACAGCATGTTATTTTAAGTGTGATCACTTTGACAAGTTATTCAACTTTAGAAGGTCTATATTTCTTGTGGGAAATCCCAGATAACTTTTAATATTTACCTACCCAAGTTATTATTTTGGACATATTAATGCACAGTGCATTAATATTCTCAACAAAATACCAAGTATAGTAATTAATAAAATTCAAAATGTACATATTCGGTAAATATCAGATATTCCTGTTATTATCATAATATTGTTTGACTGAATAATCACAATTTTGCACTTGCATATTTATGTACACACACACACACACACACATGCAGGTACATACACTTATATGTTAACTGGAAAATACCTGGATCAAGCATCTTTTTATTTACCTGTCTACAATCACAGGAGATCTGGTGGATGCTTCAGCTATTTCAGAAGCCACAATGTAATTGCCCAGAGAGTAAAAAGCTCTTCTAATGATATTTGGTTCATCATCGAAGATTTTCCTCCAGTGGCCAATGCAAGAGGGGGGTGACTGCAAGAGCACCGCCCCAAGCGCCTCTGAAATGGACTGCGTCACTGTGGTCTTACCTGTGGGTCACACACAAGACAGTGAGTCTACGGCAGGCAGGAATTGTGTGAACTTAGAAAAAGCAAAGAAATGCTTTCACACTGCCATTCACAGGAGATGATTAGGTGGTAAAACTCTCAGTAGAAAGCTGCAGACCCAGGGCAACTTAGGATTCTTCTGTTTGGTATTAGAACATTTGGGACAAAAAAGAACTGGGGATAAAGATTTAACCTGCCCTCACATTCTCTCTGCTAGCTTCTGACTTCTCTTCTTTATTCTCTCACATTAAGTTGCCAAGTCTGTGCTACCAGCAGTGCATTTCCTGTTTTCTCTAGAGCTATTGCAATGGACCTAAACCACAGGGACCATGTCTGAACGACTACTACAAACCACGCATTCAACAAGACCTTGCGCAGTAGTGATCATCATTGAAGAAATTTAGCACCAAAAAAGGTAATAAATCTACCCAAGCTCACCCCGCAGATGGGCTGGACCCACGTGCAAACATGGCACCTGGAATGTTTACACACAGTTAGAGTAAGATGTTTCCACCTTTTGTAAGCCCAAAGAATCTAAATTAGCTCCTGACTCAAAATGAAGGATCAATAAAACCCAATGATGCTGTTACAATCCTCTTCATGGCTATAAACATAACTAGGCCTGGGTCACAGCATAACTTAAACATTTCAGTGACAACTTCTGGTGGCCTGAAGTTCAAGGATATTTCCTCTCTGACCTGATCACTCCAATGCAGCCAAGAAAGCCAATGCTACCATCGCTTGGGCTTCAGGCTATCATGTTGTGACATAAGAGCCCCAAATGGAAACTGCCTGTTACGTGATGGAAAGAAAAGCCTTTCCCTTCAAGTTGACAGAGAAAGCAGTACCAAGAAGGGTCTTCTAGTCCTCACCTCCTGGCCTAGGAGCAGTGCTTCTCTACTTGCATGTCTACTGTGTTGTATGCTCCATGAGCCCAAGTGTGCTGTGTGCTAACGTCTCTTTGGCAGTTTTAAAGGTTCTTTCCTTCCATGTTATAGTTTAGATCTAAAATGTACCTCTAAAACCTCATGTGTTTGGAAGGTGGTCAGACCATGGGGCACTGACTCATCAGTGGATTCACCTATGGAAAAATTTCTGGTGTTGTGAGGTGGAACCTGGGAGGGGGTCACTGGGGTGTGACCTGGGGGGGTGCATTCTCGTCCTCATTTCCTGCCTTCTCTCTGTGCTTCCTGGCTGCCAAGAATTGAGCCGCATCCCTCTACTGGAGCCGGCCGCCATATTGTTTCTGAGTTGGAACCAGCCATGGACTGAATCCTCCAGAACCATGAACCAAAATGAACCTCTTCATTTTTAAATTGTAGGTGCCAGGTATTTTGTCTCAGCAAAAGAAAAGAAACTAGAACATGCTATTTTCTCTTTGTTTTGTCCAAAAGAAGCCCTCTACACTTTTGTCTAAGAGTGGCCCATGTCATTTCTTCCATTTGGAGCACGCCCCACCTCTCATCCCAGCTCCTCTGCCCACTCTTACACCACACACTCCCTGCTCTGCCTCCCTGTAGAGGCCAGGTTTGGTTCCCCTCCTGCAACCCCGCAGAGGAGGGAGACTCAGCCCTTTCCACCTCAGCCACCTCAGCAGGATAAGCCACACTGACCCCTGCAGCTCAACACCTGCCCAGCTGAGTGCTGCCACACAGCAGAGACCACCAAGGCTCGGCATAAAGCTCTGCTGTAGCAGAGCCATACCCACTTCTGCAGCGCATCCACTAATGCCATTGAATATGGTTACAAAGTAACCGCTCTTACCAGTGGCATCCAGTCCCTCGATGACGATGACCGGGAACTGTCCTTTCCGCAGCTGCTTTGGACACTGATCAACCAGGTTGAGCACTGCCTGGGCTTCCGGAATAAAAGGCGTGCACTAAAACCAGAAGGACCCCATCAGCAGAAAAGCACTGGAGCTTTTACAGAAAACATCTCTAACTTGCTCAGTGCTAACAAGGCCCAATATAAACTAAGCACCATGCAATAGCCTTTTCTCGGTATGGATTCAGAAGCTTTTTGTTATTGTCATTTTATTTTTAAAAAGTAACACAAAGGGGCTGGGGATTTAGCTCAGCGGCATAAGTGCCTGCCTTGCAAGCAGGCAGTCGTGAGTTTGATCCCTGATACCGGTAAAAACGAAAAAGACCAAAAAAAAAAAAAAAAAAAAAAAAAAAAAAAAAAAGTAACACGAAATTTCGTAACAAAGTAAGAGTGACAATAGTTAATATACTGTGTGTTATAATCTTACTCAGAATACACGACATTCACAAAATGACTCTCTTATTAAGAAGTCAGCAGATAATAGCACAAAACTTTCTTTTCAATAAACTAGGAAAAGCTAGTGTATAAATGAAACAAAATGGTATATATATTAAGATATTTTTTAAATTATGGGATAGATAGTTTGAAGAATTCCTTGAACTCACTATTTCTCATTTATCATATATACAGATAGATAGGTAGATATTTGAGCTCCTCATATGAGAGATACCATGTGATATTCTGACCTCTGTGCATGAATTATTTCACTTAACTTGCATCCTTTTACCTATGAACACCTCAAGTGTCTTTTTCCTTTATTAGATAACAAGTAGCAAAGGCTCAAAAAGGCTGCAGGCATCTGGATCACACAACCTGCATCCCACCACACACAGCTTCCCCTTCTGGGGGGAAGCAGAGCGCTAAGACACCGTCACCATAAGCCTCTGGCCCCGCCCTGAGCAGAGTTTGTCACAGGTATAGAAAATGCGCTACCTCCTGGGCTTTATTCATTAGTTTTGTACTGTATTTGTTAATTTATTTGGTTACCTCAGTACCAGGGAATGAACCAAGGGCCTCTGCACTGCATGACATCCCCAGTCTTTTTTTTTTTTTTTTTTTTAAGCCTAGGTCTCCTTAAGTTACTAAGTGGCTTGGGCTGGACTCCCACTTGCAGTCCTCCTGCCTCAGCCTCCGGGAAATGCTGGGATTATAAATATGCACCAACACACCCAGCTGTAAGGAGGGCTTCCGCCACCACAACCTGGACTCACACTAGGGCCCCTGCTGATCGCCTAAGGCGCTGAGGACATTGCAAAGCTAGGGGCACTGCTTCTGCCTGAGATTCAAAGTTCCTGTCTCCTCCATGCACCCCAGACCCACAGCTCTCCCAGCTGCAGCCCACACCAGCATTTATGAAGGCCTGGATTCTAAGCCAGGAAGCCTGCCTGGCTATGCCCAAGTACTCAACGGAAGAGGGGGGCGATCTCTGAGCAGCAGAGGGTGGTACTGTTCTTATTCCCATTTGACAAATGAAGGACTGACAGCTACGCGTGTGGTTGCTTGTGGGTCATCCCAGCACTCTAGAGGCTGAGGCAGAAAGATCGCTGTGAGTTCAAGGCCAGCTGCACCATTCAGCAAGACCTTTTCTCATGAGGTGGAGACAGTCATGCAAACTCGCTCAAGTACACAGTCAATTAACGCAAGAAAGCGAATCGGAGCCCTAGTCGTTGGTGTTGCACTCTGACCTACTCCACCACGCTGGCGCACAGGCTTGTAAAATCTAAGATCTGGGACACAGGTCCAGCCTGCAGGCCACCGCCCTTGCCTGGGGCCAGAAAAAGGAAGGGAAATAAAAGCCTTTGTTTCTTTTCCTAAGCACCTGCGATGAGTCACTGGCTTCATGAATCATCCAAAAATCTCTGCAAAGCCAGACAAAAGCAGGAAAAGTGGAGGCCTCACGTGTCAGCTGCGGCCAGCAAGGAAGCTGCAATCTCAGTGTCCTAACCTCTGATACAGATAGCTTGAGCTCCTCCAGGCTGTCTCTGTCCCCTCTGCCCAGCAGCCTGGGACTCTCCCTGAGTATTTCCAGCTGGCCCTCTGGCTTGGCCTGGTGTTGGGGCACCCTCTGCATCAGGCTAGAAGCTCTTCCCAGACCAGAATCTTAAAGGACCAAGTGTCTAATTCCTAACCCAGAGTGCCGGATGCCTTCACCTTCCGATTTGGCGCAGAGATAAACAAAATTCCCCAGAATGTTTCCGTAAGTTTTCTAGAAACAGAGCCCCTGCCCCAGGGCCTGTGCATTAAGTTGCAGCCAATTTGTCTTTTACGCTGACACAGGGTTTCCTTACCTCACTACATTGCCCACAATAGATTCCAGTTTGGGGTTATCTTGCCTCAGCCTCCCAGAAACAGGCAAGTACCGTTCACTCCAAGATTGCTTTTCATGGGCCAGCGAGCCAGAGGGCAGACTGCCCGGTCCCTTCCTGGTCCAGGGAGGGTGGCCCACAAACCATGCTTAGAAAGAGCTCTTACCTCCTCCAGGACAGCCCGGGCTGCATCCCGGTCAGGGAAGACCGCGGAACTCGGCAGGTCCAGTACCACGGGGTGCACCGGAGGCGCTGGGACCGGCACCACGCGTGCGCAGCTCACCTGCCGCTGCGCGTCCCCGTGCAGCGCCCAGAGCCGTAGCCACAGCTCGCCGCTCGCGTCCGCCTCGAACTCGCCGAGGTTCGGGCGCGCGGGCTCCGGGCAGGCTCCGAGCACCTGGAGGAGCGCGCCCCACGTGTCGGGACCCGCGCGGGGGTCGTGCAGCAAGAAGCCGTGCCGGGCACCGGCGGCTGGTTCTCCTGGGCTATAGCCCAGCAGCCTGTGCAGCTGGCACCGCTGGAAAGGCTCCCCCTTGCGCAACTGGAGTTGCAGCTGCTGCTGCACGCGCGCCGCCTGCACGCGCGCCCCGCAGTCGCCCCCGGTGACCGCTGGAGCGCACAGCGCGAAGCTGCGCCCCGGGGGCCCCAGCAGCGCGGGCAGGCGCGGGTCTTGGTGCGCGCCCGCAGCCCCCGGGTCCTCCAGGGCGAAGTGGGCCAGGCTGCAGTCCGGGAGCTCCAGCGCGAAGCAGCGCGGCGGGGCCATGGCCGAGGAGCAGGTCCCGCTCCGGCTCCACCGCGGGCCTTGCAGGCGCCTCAGCAGCGGGCGGATCCGCGAGGCCATGGGCGCCCGGCGTCCCCGCCCTCGGTCGCGCCGGGAAACGAAAGCTAAGGCGCGGAAGGCGGCGATCCTGGGTGCGGGGCGCCCTCCCTGCCCCGCCTCCCGCCAGGCCTGCGCGGACTCAGGGCGCCTAGGGCCCGCAGGGTCCCCCGGGCGGCGGACTCTGGCCTAGGCGCCATCCCGGCCTCTGCTGCCGCCGAGGGAGCACAGCGGCGCTCAGGGTTGGGGGCCACCGGTGGTCCTCGCCCCCGCTTCGAACTCCCCTGTGGGCGCCCCCATGCGTAGGCTGGGGTGAGCTGCTGTAGGATGGGGAGAGAGGTCTGGGTTCCTCGCGCAGGTTTAACTCCATCGCGGGCTTTCTACACCATCCCTAAACTGCTTGTGCCGGGCTACTCCCCTCCCCCACCAGCCCTACTGGGCTGCTTTCCTTGCCTCCGCCAGAAGCACCCCCTGGGAATGGTCTTCCCCTATCATCTGCTTGTTCAAAGTGGTGACTGGTGCACCCGTGGGCATTTCGAAACTGCCTTTATACCCCCAGTTAAAGTCCCTGCGACCTGGCCTCTTCCTGGACCCTGTGAGGCCTTAGTCTCCCTGTCTTCTTAAAGGCTTGTCGTTTGACATGGGAGTGCATGCCTATTGTCCCAGCACTTCTAGGAGGCTTAGGCAGGAGGATCACAAGTTCAAATCCAGACTGGGCAAGTTAGCAACTTAGCAGGACCCTGGCTCAAGAAAAAATAAATTAGAAATGGGGTGGGATTATAAGTAGGCTCTGGGTTCCATGTTTGGTAGCATTCCGTAAATAAATTAAACAAATGAAATAAAAGTGATTGTCCTGCTGGAGGAGTCCAGTGGTAGGAGTGCTTGATTAGCTTGTGTGAAGCCCTGGCTTCTATCCCCCCATCCAGCCACAAATACATAAACAATAAATAAATGACGCTGGGAACTTTCCAATAAAACATGCACACAGCAACAATCTTAAGAGGGAAGCCTCAGCTTTGGAACTGAGAACAAAGATCAGGGAGAATTGAAAGCAATTACATTTTTATGTCTCAGTTTGGGTTATACTTTGGGATACATCTTATTCTGAGAGAAAACAATGTCTTAACAGATGTGAAATCTTGCATCTGGGGGTTGAGGGAGAAGGGAATAATAAAGGCTCTTAAGCCATTGATAGCCTTTTGAGAATAAAATTGGTTCCAGCCCCCACCCCACCCCTTGCTCTTTCTCTGTGGGTGATTTGGCTTTTTGGATCTTAAATGTGAAGAGATGTTTTCACATGCGGATACTAGCACTTTCTTAACTTCTTTGTAGTCTTTTTTGTAGTAGTAAGAATTGAATCCAGGGCCTTCACACCGAGTTACATTCCCAGACCATTTCTCACATATTTTATTCTGAAAGTCTCCTTAAGTGACCCAGGCTGAGCTGGAACTTGCAGTCCTCCTGCCTCACCTCCCAGAGCGCTGGAATTACAAGCACATCCCACCCTACTGTATTTTGCCTGTCTTGGGTCTTCCCTCACACCATCCCCTGCTCTGGACATCTTAATATACTATGCCTACCATAGCAAAATACCAGGCAGAGCAGCTCAGACGTAGCCAGGGGTCCAAGATCACAGTGCCCACAGGTTGGCTTCGTCAGTGACCTTCTGTGGGCTGCCGCCTTCCCACTGTGTCTTCATGCAGTCCCTCATTTGCACAACCCTAGGGTCTTGCATGCAGCTTCTCTAACTAGAATGCAAGTTGTGTCCAAGCCCAGACTGACGGGTTGTTGCAGTTTAAACTCACAGGAGGCCTTCACTCTAAGCACGTTCACATTCAGGGGCTTAAGGGTTGGGGGTGCAGAGTAGCCTAGGGCTCCTCAATTATCTAGTTGGTGGCCTGTCCCTCATGCACAGGCATCTTGAGACAGAGGCCCCTGCTCCTCCTCCTCACCCACCAGCCTCTCTGTCTCAGTATCATCTCACCTCGAAGCGGAGCAGGAAACCATTGACCTGCACCTGTCTCTGAGCCTCCCATAGAAAGACAGCTTGGGGCACCATTTGAGAAAGGCAGTCGTATTTTTTCTTACATTTTCCTATCCATTTTCTCCCACTCTGAACCGAGATGGGATGTGACATTAGAATGTTACTGTGATGTCTGGACTCACCAATATGTGAAAATATGTGTGGGTGATATTAAAGATGCAATGCTTTTATTCGGGCGGGAAAAATCATGGTCATATTTTTCAGTGTTGATTTGAAATTCTTGAGACAGAAGGCTTTAGTGGTCTCAGCTGACTGTTTAGATAAACTTTCCCACAGCAACCTATCCTTACAGTGAGGGTATCTGGGAGCTGGGAAGATGCTTCAAAGAGGTGAATGAATGGATGAAGGCATTCTTAAGGAAAGCCATAGTTGTGCATACTTGTATACTCCTAGGATGTTACAGTTTATATCTGGATGTCCCCCCCAAAGCCTCATGCATGCACTCATAGCTGGGGCTTTGGGGAGGTGACTGGGTCATGGGTGTGTGATACTGGATCTTATCTGTATAATGCTGGATTAGTCCACCAATGGGTATAGAGCTGGATGGACATGATGTTGGGAGGTGAAGCCTGGTGGGGAATCAATGTGGGCATGGCCTGGAGTGGAATCTAGCCCTCCTCTCCTTGATGGCTCCATGTTCTTGATGCCCTGTCATGGACTGTTTCTACTCCATGATGCCCCTCTAGCATGCTGTGCCACCCTGCCTCGGAACTAGCCAATTATGGACTGAGCTCTCTACAAACTTGAGCCAAAATAAACTTCTCCACTTTTAACTTGTGGGTGTTATGTATTTTGTTACAGCAATGTGAAAGTAAGACAGAGGGAGAAAAAGACATACAGAAAGGGAGAATTTTATATATGTGTGTGTGTGTGTGTATGTATTAATAATGAAATAAAAGAGCCTCATTTATGAAAATCTGCTGAAGTGGATTGTCTTGGGTTATCTAGTCAAGTTGGAAAAAAGGAAAATCAGAATACTAAGAATAGACAAGAACACAAAACCACCAATTTTATGAAAAGGACCACCAAAATATTACAGTTTATACAGATAATATTACAGTCACTTCTGTATAAACAGATTTGAACATCACGAGATTAAGTGAGATACTCAGGAAGTATGAATTAAGGAAGTAGAAGCAAATTCCAGGAAAGAAGTTGGTGAGAGCTTTGAAAAGCAGTGAGAGAGTATATATATATATAGGAGCAGATAGGTTCTCTCTTCCATTAAACTATGTGTTTCTTTGTCTTTTTTGTGAGTTCCCAGTTTGGGGGCATGTGGTGTGCTGTGGAGCTGGTTTTCCGGTTAAGAAATTTATTTATTTATTCTTTCAGTGAAGAAATTTCAACCTAACAGGTCTTTGCACTCATTCTTTGTCTCCCTGGGGCCTGGGGGCAGGACTGATCCCTGTCCAAACCCTAGGAATAGGATCCCCCTGAAAGCATCTCTCTACTCATGATTGCAGACTGTGGTCCACACCAAGCTGTCCAGTCACCGTGCACAGGGACCAAGATGGATCGTCAGACCTCACTCATTCCTGCATCCTGTGGTTTGATTACCATGGCTGGATATAGTGAGACAGGTGTACATGTCCAGGCCTCCCAGGAACCCCAGATCTTGAGTCTCCAGCATAGTTCCCAGCCAGCAGTCTCACACTTGTCCTTGCAGTTTCTTTCAAGAAAGAAAACACTCCCGGTGCCACCCAGGAAGGGCAGGGCTGCGATCCCAGACCCACCTCTGCAGTCTCCGCTTCAGGAATTACTTCCTCCTGCTGGAATCCACCCTAGCTGGGAGGATCATGAGAAGTAGCTGTCTTTGAGTAAATCAGTAAGCTTCAGGCTAGTCTTGAGACTTAAAGCACACCCCAAATACAGCAAAGAACAGAAAAGAAGTAAACATCACAAGAAATGAGTACAGGCATTTTAAAGAACTGTGGCATTTCATTTCTCTCTCTCTCTCTCTCTCTCTCTCTCTCTCTCTCTCTCTCTCTCTCTCTCTGTGTGTGTGTGTGTGTGTGTGTATCTGTCTCTCTGTCTCTCTTTTTCTCAGAATTTTACACACATAATAAGAAAAAAGAAAGCCAAAGAGCTAAAGAAGATGTGTGCAACGCATGTAAACCACAAAATTCACAAGATACAATGAATTCTGATAAATCAACAATACAATGCAGAAAACCCCATACAAAAATGGGCAAGTGGATTGAACAGGCATATCACAAAACAATACTCAGCTCAGAAAAACCTACACAAAGGGCTTAACCACAAAACTCAGCAGGGAACTAGAAAATCTAAACAAGAATGTGATATGACCCTATGCACCTGGCTAAGGTGAACCAAAATGAAAAACAAGGACCACAGCAAATAAAAGGTAAAGTTTGAGTGGCCTAAGTCCTGATTTTTTTCCCTTTTGAAAGCCATTTGTGGTGCCAGTGTTGACTGTATTCCACTAAGTGGCTTTTGTACATCCAACAGAAATGCATGCATGATTTTGGACCCCAAGTTGTGCAAGAAAATTCCAAATTTCCATCCTCACAGAATGATGAATGCATTGTGCTCTCCTCATATAATGGGGTACTCTACAGCTACAAAAATGGACAAACTTTGAACACATCAAAGTGGATGATATAACATTCAGAAGCTAGACACAGAAAGATGCACACTGTATGGTCCTATGTATGGACCTACAGCCATTCAAACTAGAGTACAGCATTAAAAGACAGGACAGGGTATCTCCTGGCAGAGGGAAGCTCAGTGCCTGAGGGAGGAACATGGAGATTTTGCTAAAGTTCTGTTTCTTAATTAGAAAGGCCAGGGAAGTGCATGTTCCCTCTGTGAAAATTCACCAGGCCTTGTTTTTTTGTCAGTGGAACATCTCTCTATGTGTGTGTTGCACTGCGAGAAAAGTTTTCCCAGAGAAAGAACAGGGTGGCTGCAACAAGGAAACAGATTCCAGAGTCCACTCCATGGGGCAGCTCTGTCAGTGCAGGGTCCTTATCAGGACACATGGAGAGAATCACAGATGCACGGGTGTGTGGGGAGAAGTTTCCAGATCCAGACACATTGGTGACATTTGGCTGTTACTCAGATATACTTGAATTCTTTTTAAAGGTGACAACTATCAAGAGGTGAAGAGCAAGAAGGGGCAGCCTTGATCTCAACCCCAGGTTACATCGAATTTTGGAGGCATCTTTGTAAGCCATGACTTCAGCGGGACCTCTTACCTGGAGGTTGCTTCCTGCTCCCTGAATTCCAGAGGCTTTAGGAAAGACCAGTAGCCTGGGGACAGTCAGGTTACAAAGGGAACTTGGCTGCATCTAATCTGCATTTGTCACCCTGTAAGAGGAACAGGAGAGAGGCAGCCTGGGAGACAATGTTGGCAATATAAAGAATTGGGTCAGCTCAGTGATCAGCAGGCCTGGAAGTTTGCTGAGAAGAAAATTCCTTAATCTCAGCTCTCTATGAGGCTGAGGCAGGAGGTCAATCACTAGTTTGAGTGCATCTAGGCAACTTAGTGAGGCCTTGTTTCAAAATAAAAATAAATAAGTAAATAAAACTATAAAGGGCTGGGGGTAGAGCTCAGTGTGAAGGCCCTGGGTTTAATCCACAGTATTGTAAAAATGAAGGAGGAGGAGAAGGGTAGTGAAGAAGAGAAGGAAGAAAAAGAGGAGAAGCAAGCGGAGGAAGAGAAGCAGAAGAGGAGGAAGGACAGGAAGGAAGAAGGAAAAAAATAAAGCAAGCTCCTTGGACTGAAGTCCTCACCCATGGCTGCCTGATGTCTGCTTTGTACAAATCCACACATACAGGGAAGGTCTGCTCCAAGCCTCACTCTGGGATGGGCTGACCGTGTAGGGAAAGAGAAGTTTTGGGGTGGGGGGTAAGCCTGTGATTGTGGAGCAGCAAAGCCACTGTAACTTTGTGAGCCCTGCAATAGCATAGACTTGGACTCTTCTATTTATACTTTATATTTATTAATATTTTTATCTAATAGAAGACTTTTAATAAATGCTTACAGGAGGGATGAAAGAAAAAGAAAGAAAAGAAAGCATTTCTGAATGGATGAATTAATGATTGAAAGAAAATAGCATATTTGGCAGGAATAATAAGATAACAGGGTAATAATGATCAGTTTTTGAGAAGTATAGCAAATGTTTACCTTTCAATTCATTTTCTACACTCTGGGCTATATCATTATCCGTTATAAGATAAATTAGCACATGAAAAGTATAACATGACAGAGACATACTAGATTTCATTTCTTAATTTTTTGAGACAGAATCTTGCTCTGTAGTTCAGGTTGAACTTGAACTCATTATGTAGCCCATGCTAGGCTTGGGTTCACAGCAATTCTCCTGCCTCAGCCTGCAGGATGCTGGGTTTATGGGCGTGCAACACCCTGCTTGCCTCCACACCAGATATTTCTAATATTTGCCATGCCAAGTACTAACCCTCATTGGTTGATCTTCATCATGTCATTCAATCTTTAAAATACCCCACATGAATTATTGTCCATATTTCCTGCACATACGAGCAAGAATGAATAAGGAAAGAACTTCACCCAGGGTTATGCAACTCCCTCTGATTCACACAGTGCCATGGACTTGGACCTGTGCATCACTGGACTGGCAATAATTAAACATACACCTGCTATTTCGCAGAATTTAGATTCACTTTAGTTTCAGTTTCCCAGTGCAGGAACCTGAGTAGTTTCTGTTTCCATTCACAAAAACAATAGGCAACCCTCACCCTGCACTGCAAGTTTTCCATCAGGGCCCTATGAATTTGCTTTTGTAATCAGAATACTTTTTACTCTTTGCAGAGATTGCAGGGGATGGTTATGCTGACAAGGAAATGGGGATCTCTCAGCTGCTAAGTCCAGAGCTGGGTCTGTGACTCCACAGGTTTGGCCACTATTGTTTTTTTTTTCTCTCTCTCTCTCTCTCAGCTCCAGACGCCGCCCGAGGTTACTCATACTACCCTCATCCCAACTGAAGAGCCTTGGAGGGAGAGTTTCGTGTAAGAGTCCGCAGTGCTCCCAAGGGTCCTCCAAACATGACAGGCTGCAGTGGGGTTTAGCAGTTAGAAAGCAGCTTAGTAAAGCACCTGATACTCCCAGGTGAAACTGTGTTTCAGGACTGGGATCCAAATGTAGCAAAATTCAAACATCACATTTTACCTCCACTACAACGTACTAGTTCCAAGGAGTAGCTTAAGCAGGATAAAGATGTGAATTCCACTGCGTTCCTAGGCTGTTACTGCCACCTAGAAGGAACTCCCATCCTCACGGATCCTCAGTCATTTATTTTTCAAGCCATTCTTTTATTATGTGACTTTAAAAACTTTTTTTTTTTTTTTTTTTGCCACGACTTTGACCATGGTCTTCATTTGACATGACAGGTCTCTTCTGTGTTTTGACTAACATTTTCGAACGCCTTCCATCCCTTCCCCTATGACTGCTTTGTACACGTGTGAGTAGAGATGAGATTTCACAGTGTAGCAGGCAAGGCTCCCTAGAAGAGTGGCTGCACTATATTAGCACAGTGTATAAAGGCTTATGACGATCCCTGGATTATCGGGTCTGGAGAAGGCTCAGTGAAGGCTCACGGTGCAGAGCTTGAGGGCTTTCCAAGGTCAAAGGCCTGGAGTCCCCGGCAGAGTCAGGTCTGAATCCATGTCAGAAAGCCAAAGGGCTGCTCTGGAGGCCACAGAGTTTATGCTGGAAGCTGGAAGGGACTTTGATTAAAGCCCAACGGTGATGGCCAACAGCTGGACTCCTCCGGAGAAACACCCATGGCAGCCCTCCCTCTCCTTTCCCTTTTTATTCTCTCCAGACTTCAAGCCTATTGGCTGGTGCTGCCCACATCCTAGGTGGGTCTTCCATTTTCAGTTTGTGGCTTACAAGTCAAGCATCAGCTGGACGTTTGTCAGTCAAGTTGACAGCACATTTAGTGATTCCACAGATATAAGTGAGATTGTTTGGTGCGTGTTCTGTGTCTGGCTGATTTTATTCCACACAGCACCCTCTAGATCCACTGATGCAACTGTAAATGACATCTTCTCCCTGAATAGTACTCCATCTCGTATGCATAATATTATTCTCACCTATGCATCGTGAAGGAACAGTTAAGATACTGTCATATCCTGACTAGCATGGACACACTACAGCACACATAGGAGTGCCACTGTCTCTTTCATGTGCTAATTTCCTTTTCTTTCCTTTGAATACATGACAGGAGTGAGATTGCTCGACCCTGTGGTACTTGTGTCAATTTGGCTTTCATAACTATCTTGCCCTGAGTAACTACTACGTGAAGGGTGATAGTGACCCAGCTGTCACATGGAAACAGTGAGGGCTTCAAAACTTTTTGGATACTAATGTGACACATTGTGTAACTTTGTTTCTTGCACAAAGTGACTAGCAATGTTTCAAGACATTATTGTCAGCTGTGTGCACAGGACATGTAAGAACATGGAAATAAATAAATTTTCCGAGCAGACTGTGCAAAGGTTCCAAAGTCTGAAAAAAATCTGAAATATCTTTATCCAAAGCCTTTTGGATAAGGGATTCTAAACTTCAGAAGTAAAGGTAGAGAAGGTCCTTGATGTCATCACAAAGGAATGACTGTCATTCATGCAGAGTCAGACATAAACAGAGAAAGCCTGGCCCTGGTCTTGTGCTTTCGGTCTTGGCTGTGTTCCAACTTTCATTTTCTGAGAGAAGAAAATCGAAACTCAGCAGAGCATTAGTAAAGGAAGCATGTATTTCCCTTCTCTCCCCGCCCCCCCCCCGGGGCCAAGGTGCCTGGAGGTGTGGCTGGTTTTGCACTGTCATAAAAGGCACAGGGACAGCGTCAGGGTACCAGAGTAGCAGGCATGGGGATGCTGGTACCCACGGCTCTGGCTGGGAAGATGCTGAGTGCGTTCAGGCCGTCCCTGGGCTCTCTCTGGGGCAGCCTGGCCTCCCTGCTCTTTTGGCTGAGAGCAGCACTCTGGTGGCCAGCAGAGGAGAAGGGATGCAAGCAGGTGGCCGGAGAACCACAGGGGAGCCCGGAGGCAAAAGGGGAGGACAGCACGGTTCCTACCAGTGTCAACTACCACTTCACTCGCCAGTGCAACTATAAGTGCGGGTTCTGCTTCCACACTGCCAAGACGTCCTTCGTTCTGCCCCTGGAGGAGGCCAAGAAAGGGCTGCTTTTGCTTAAGCAAGCTGGTAAGTCCCAGTCCCCCAGAGAAATTAAGTGATTGGCTGTGCAGGCTGGGTGGCGCCTGCAGAACTGGAGGTGGTTCTGCCTTGGAGGGCCTGTGGGAAAGGTCAAGGTGGGTGCGGGGGGGGGGGGTGCCCAGAGGGTCCTGGATCACAGCATTGCTTCAAAGAGCTTCCCCTGCTTCCTGTGGCCCCTGGTGTGTGCCAAGGGAGGCCCTGCGCCACCCAGCAGCGACAGACTGCTGCTTTCAGAGTTTATCCAAATCATGAAGCAACTTGGTTTTTCCAGAAATATTTAGTGAGGAAAGCTAAAATCAAAAATTCTGGAGCAAGAACAGTAACACTGATGCCTTTTAAGTTGGGTTGTGTGTATGCAATTATTAAAAGTAAACTTAGAAAATGCAGATGTAGTGATGAATTCCTGTAATCCCAGTGATCAGAAGGCTGAGGCAGGAGGATCACTGGGAATCTGAAACCAGTTTAGGTTATATAGTTGGACCCTGTCAAAACAAAGAAACAGACATAACCTCAGAAATGGTTTTCATGAAATGGATCAGAGACTTCGTTCTTAAGATTGACCCCCGTGTGTATCATCACATTAATGATTTGCAGGGATTGGAAAGAAATCTGAGGCAGTACTTTGCCCTTGAAGTCTGCTCTTCCCTCCAGCCCATCTTCCTGTCACTCCTAAAATGCCTCTGCAGGTGGCTAGGGAACAGTGTAGCTGATATTCCTCCCTGCCCTGCTTGACTTGTGCTTCAGGCTAGCTGGGGCAGCCCCAGCTGTGCATAGTTTGACAATCTCACGAAGCGATGTCAGGTGCATCACCACCCCAGGTGCCACTCGTACTGCACCCTTCTGTGTCCCTGAGATCAGCACTAGCTGGCCTTGTGCACACCCACGAGTGTGCCCGCATCTCTGCGTCATGCTGTATTGTCACAGACACCTTGGCAACCCTCTGCTTGCTGCCAGGCTCTCCAGTGAAGACGGCCACTAGGTCGTCACTGTGGTCCAGCTTCAGTTCTCCCGCACTTTTCTCCGGGACTTTTGTCTTTTATCCATTGTTTCTAATCTTCCAGGGGAAGCCACGTTTCCAGACTACATTGTCACTTTCTAACTGATCTCATACCTAACTCTCTTGAGTGTCTTAAAAATCAAAGCAGGAAGAATTAACTATAGGCCCCACCTGAAGCTCCCTGTTGCACATGGCCCAGGAAGGGGTTTCTCTGTTTTTGCAAAACTGTTGCCGCCCTGTTCCCTCTGGCTGGGGAGGAAATCTCCTGAGCTGAATTTCCAGTGATTTCCAATGATCAGGTGCATCTATTTTAAACTGGAGAAAAGGAGAAGAAAAACAACCTCTTCGAGCAATTTTCTTTCCACTTAGACTCTGAATTAAATACATAGTTATTCCCATAAAGTGAGCTTGACCTTCAGAATTAAAGTTAGGGAAGGGGCGGGTAATGAGGGTTTTATTTCATTTTTTATTTTCCATTGAGGAAGCATTATTTTTGTCATTAAAAAGAAAGAGAACAAAAAAGATGGGTTTGGGGTGAAGCCTCATGGTAAAGCATTTGCCTAGCATGTATAAGGCACTGTAAACACTGCATGAATGGTGAAAATGGAGTAGTGTGAAATGGGAAACTTTGTGTCACCTCCTACAGGGATGGAGAAGATAAACTTCTCAGGCGGGGAGCCATTTCTGCAGGACCGAGGAGAGTACCTGGGCAAGCTGGTGAAGTTTTGCAAAGTGGAGCTGGGTCTCCCCAGTGTCAGCATCGTGAGTAACGGCAGCTTGATCCGGGAGAAGTGGTTCAAGGACTACGGTACGTTTCCTTAGAGGGTGTTTTAATCATGGCTGCTAATATGATTGGTTCCTGCATTTCCTTTCGTCTTGGGCCTTAAGCTAGATCTTCTGGGGAACTGGCAGAAAAAAGGAACAAATTTTGCTTGTTTGAACCTCCTTCTAAGCTATGCGTGGCATCAGGATTGTTGTGACTCTGGGGTAAACAAATACAGCTAGCTAGACAGGGGTGATGTTAGCAGTCATGACTGTCACTTACTTCCAAATCAGCAAGGATTGGGACCTACAGCCCTAGCTCAGCCACTTCTGTGGAAAATTCACACATTCTGCACCATGCAGTGGGTTTTTCTGCTAAGACTGGAGGGCACTTGGTCTATATCAGAAGTCTCTAGTGTATGACTTGGCCAATTGGGCCCAAGGAAATCCTTTGTGTCACCAGGACTGAAGACCAGTGGGTTCTGTGACTACTGACATCCCTCGCTAATAGACCCACTACATGGAACGTCTGTGGAGCAATAGTTGGTACTTAGGAACACCAAAAAATATTTGCTATTAGTAAAACCTTTGTGCATTCTTTTCCTGGAGCTAGTTGGGATCTTACTGCCACAGTTCCATTCTCTTCTCTTGCTTTGCGGGGCTCTTGGGACCTTGAGACTATTGGAAGGGAAGCTAGCACTTTTTATCTTTGGATGACAAGGAACAGAGATTTCTGACCAGATTCTCCTCCCAGGGGAAGGACATGGGCTGTGCGTGTGAGCAGCCTGTGTGCCAGAGGGGAAAGAGGAAGACAGGACGCAGTCCCAAGAGAGGGTAAACCCACAGGGGAGGGAGGAAGCCGGATGTCAACACAGGGAAAAACAGAATACCAGTTTGGAGATTCAAAGCCCTTTTAAGAAGTCAGCATTGGGGACAGAAAAGGGGACTAGAAAGCAGGACAAGCAGAGACTAGGTGAGAAGGATTTAGAGCATCCACCTAAGCCACATTCACCCTGCAAGACAGCTCCTCCAGCCCGTCCCTTTCCTGGGAGGGAAAGGGTAAGAGGCAATGTGGGCCTGGAGAACAGGGTGTGTCTTGTGCCCTTGGAAATGCATAAGAAATCCAGCATCCCTGGTGGGGGACAGGGAGAAAGTGTGAAGACTGGGGTATAAGGAACACCAGGCTCCCTTTGGAGTGGTCAAGTGAGCAGCCAGCCACTTTGTTTTTTTTGTGCTCTATGGAAAGTTACCAGATCCTTCAATTATTAAAGATGTAAACAATATCCACATTGTAGTTTTTAAAATCTCCCAATTAAAAATAGTTGCAAATAATCTGAAATAGTTTTAGATGCTCAAGGGACAAACAAAATGTCCATGCCTGCATATCTGGTCCTTCCAATTTAGAAGGGCTGGGTCCCTGTGCTTGGGTGGATAAGGACTGGTCCTTCCAATTTAGAAGGGCTGGGTCCCTGTGCTTGGGTGGATAAGGACCATGTGCGTGGGTGGATAAAGATAAGGAGGGAAAAGCTAATTAATTTCACAAAAAAGAAAATACCAGGGCTCTTATATGAAGCAATCTTAGGTATGTGACTGGAAAAGAGAAACAAATCAATAACCGTGCCTAAAAAGAAAAAAAATAAACAACTGCTTCTAGATATTTCCAGAAACATCCAAGGATATCTGTTTTCTTCAAAATTTACATGAGATTTAAGGTTAATTTATTTATGGCATTGGAGACTAAAACCAGAGCCTTCCCACTGAGCCACATCTGCAGCCCCCTGGTTTTTTTTTTTTTGGGGGGGGGATTAGCCTTGCTAATTCCCTAAGTTGCCCAAACTGGGCTCAAACATAAGATCCTCATGTCTCAGCCTCCCTAAATGCTGACATTATAGACATGCAATTTCTATTTAAGGATAAATGAAGAATCTCATAGGTATGCTCGTATATATATAAATGTAGTGTAAATGTCATGTATACACACATATATATGTGCATATAATTTTGGATTCCTCCTGTCTCAGCCTTCCACAGTGTTGAGATTACATTCTTGTGTCACTGCAGCTAGCTCGAATTTGAATATATTAATAAGGTTCCCATATCTCCTGTACAGGGCTCTAGAATGATTAAATCTGTCATTCAGCTCCATCATTTTGTTCTGCATATACAGGTTTTTAATGATGATTTGACACAAGCATCAAGTGTAATTTACATCTCAGCAAGTTTTGTGCATATGAGAAAAAGTATCATCTTAAAAGTTTGAAGCATAAGTGCAAACAGGCTGTTTTATGATAAGACAGGTAACTGAGGGGTAGGGCTTGACCGTCACCCATGTAACCCGAGATTCTCATTGTCGTGCAGGTGACTATCTGGACATTCTTGCTATCTCCTGCGACAGTTTCAATGAACATGTCAATGTCCTCATCGGCCGGGGCCAGGGAAAGAAGAACCACGTGGAAAAATTACAGAAACTGAATGAGTGGTGTAAGCAATATAAAGTGGCCTTCAAGATCAACTCTGTGATTAATCGATTCAACGTGGATGAAGACATGAGAGAACACATCAAAGCGCTCAACCCTGTGCGCTGGAAGGTAAGCGTGCAATGTTGCTTTTGCTGGTTTTAACCCCGAAACGCTCAAGTGACTTTTTTTTGAAGAAGCTGAATACGATTAGGTACCAAGAGCTCTGCATCTCTTCAGCCAGATCTTGGGCTTTCTTTCAGTAACGTTAGGGTTTCAACCCTGGCTTGTGTTCTTTCCTGAAAACTGGCATTGATTTTCCTCTGGAATATAGTGAAGATAAAAAGATATGCTAGGTGCTTGGAAATATTATAAAGAATCTCTTCTTATAAAACCTAAATTTCTTCTTAAAACTCTTGGTTTATTGAAGGATGGATGGATGGATGGATGGATGGATGGATGGGCATTCTTTATAAATTCTGATGCTACTCAGTTTTCACTGAATTATTTGAGTAAAGTCATCCCTTCTCTGTAGCAACGTAAAGTCATCTTTCCAAGTTTGATGTTTCGGGACGGCTCCTTCTCCCAGCCTGTTATGGTTTAGATCCAGAATCTCTCCCCCAAATCTCATGTGTTCAGAGGTGCAGTTTTGGACGGTAAATGGCTCATTAGTATTTAGCTGTGAGTGAAAAACAGAATCTATAACTCTTGACAAGATACATTAAAAGTCAGGAAAAGCAAGCGCATTTTCAAACTACTTTTTGCATGGTTTGGGGGCTTGCAAATGATTTGCTTTTTGGGCTTTTTATATTCCCTGTTCCTTTCAAAGAACATCCATCATTTTACAGTCTGCAAATGTTAGATCACACACCTAAAGCGTACTCTAACCAGGTTTGGAAATCTATTTCCTAAGAGTATTTGGGTTTGTTCCTAAATTTCCAGGCTGCTTCTGGGTTCCTAGGGTAACATTTCCAAGGGGGACAGGAGTCGCTTGGCTCTGAGCGCCTTTTTCTCTGAGAAAGACGCCTTTTTCTCTGGACCAAGGAGTCAGGCGAGGGGGACAGGAACGAAGGACCTGACCCGGGGCCACGCTTGCATTCCAGGTCTTCCAGTGCCTCCTGATTGAGGGTGAGAACTGTGGGGAAGATGCCCTGAGAGAGGCAGAAAGATTCGTCATCAGCGAGGAGGAGTTCGAGGCCTTTCTGGAGCGTCACAAAGAGGTGCCCTGTTTGGTGCCTGAGAGCAACCAGAAGGTAATTTCACTCAGCACATGGGCTCTGTCAGATGGCAAGTGTAGATCCTCCAAAGGGTGGGACTCTCCCACTCGAGGCTGTGCATACTGTCACACTGCCATGCTAGGCATTCGGTCCAGGCCACCTGCCAGCTCCCCGGTCCCCATGAGAAGTCTCACTTCCCCTCTCCTGCGGTGGGTGCAGTGGAAACCCCGAAACACGTGATTATGTGCGTAGACTCATGCGCAGTCCTGCTGCAAGGTCCTAGTTTACTCTTCGAAAGAGGCAGGTGGAGGATTGCACAGTGCCCAACTCTAGGGGGAGCTGGGAGCCTTGGTGTTGATGTAATCATCGTCACGTGGCTGGCTTGAGTTATCTCTAGGAAACGTAAAAGTTGGACAGAATAGCAAGACTGCTGGACAGAATAGCAAGACTGCTTGACGATTCCTTGGGTGTCAGGTGGATGCATACTTGATGCTTCCTATTAGATTTGATGTACAGATTAAACAGCTATAGCTCAGGCAGGTCTACACTGTGATGCTTCCGGGTACTCCAAGGCGAACAGCCACTGCTCCCCACGTTCTCAAAAGCTACAAGAAAAACAATTTATCCTCCTTTCCAGAGTGGAGGAACCTCCTGACTAATTCAATATATAAATATTTTAAAACAATTATGGATTAAGTATTTGAACACATAGAAATAAAAAATAAAGCTGGGTTGGTGGCACATGCCTATAATCCCAGCACTTCGGAGGCTGAGGCAGGAAGATTTCCACAAATTTGAGGCCAACCTGAGCTACATAATAATTTCAAAGCCAGTCTGAACCATATAATGAGACCCTGTCTCAATAATAAATAACCACATATGTTATAAAATTAAAAGTAGAATGTGCAACCCTTATATATTTATATAACAAATATATATAATCCTTTATTATAGAGTAAAACATAGAGTAAAATATAGAGTATTATAGGGTAAAAATTCTTTAGATCAAAAAGAGTCTATTAACAGAAGAACACGTCAGGCTTTGAGTATAAATAGATAATTCCTACACACAAAAAAAATTGTGCATAAACTGGTCTTTGATATCATTAGCATTCAAATAGAAATTAAAATACAAAGCATGAAGTCATGGTTAAAAAAAAAACAAGTTCATAGCACTAGGAAGAGAACAAATTACTTCAAATTTCCTAGACAAAAACTTGGTAACTTATAATGATAATCTTTAAATGTCTGCACAAGCTAATTTAGAAATTCTACCTTAAAAGGTAGGAACTCTGAGAATCAGAGAAATATTTATGCAAAGGCACATTACGACTTTATTAAAAGAAAATAACAGCAAAAAATTGAATACATGGTATGCCTAAAGCATAGCAGTAGCAGGTACATTTTCATGTTCATAGAATGAAATTTTATTCTGGCTGAAAAGCAAATGGCAAAGAATATTAAATGAGCAGGATAAGTTCTCATGGTATTAAGTACCAAGGAAAATGAGTGTGCAAAATTAATCTGAGACCTGTACTGGTGGGCCCCAAAATGCCCCTGTAATGTTACAATAATTATCATGGAAGAGCAGAATTAGTAGTCATTTTTGTTTACTCTTATAAGCTTTAGGACCTTATAGCAATTAAAATAAGTTCCATTATCCAAAAACATATTTTTAAAAAAGGACTCTCCAATCTGTCACCACAAAATACGCATATGGAAAACCTCTACCCCACAATGCGTACCCAGAGGGAATTCCAAGCACAGTTTGGCCCTGATTGCAGGAGCTCTTGCTAATGCTCAGAGTCTGGAAGGTCATGCAGAATGGAGCAAGAATGAGAGGTCTCCCCAGGCTGCCAGGGGACCTTCGAAGAGCAGCTGGAAGGAGCGGAAAGATGCCCCCCCCCCACATATGGGCACAGTCCCCATCTTCATGATGCAGTTAATGTGAGATCAAAGATCCTAGAGTAGGCAATCATACATGTCACCATGTGTAGAGAGACCTTTGGTTTATCTGAGTGTTCATAAGGGCTTCCTGGCCTCAGTTTGTCTTCCCCGCTTCACACATGAGGAGCCTGAGTGTCCCTCTGTCTCTTACATGATCACTGATTTGAGCCGAAGTGGAGCAAACTCAGGAGTTCGGTTTCCTCCCAAGCCCAGAAGCCCCTGCCCAGCGGCACCACTCAGGGGCTGGTCCAGGCACACACACGGGTCAGGGCTGGGTTCTCAGAGCTGCTCTGAGGGTGCCCTTGCTGCTGTCTCCCCATCTCCCACCCGCATCCCTCACCGTATCCCAAGCCCCACAGCGGGCCTAGACCTAGTGTGCACAGGAAGTGCCAGCTACAGCCAGAGAGACAGACCTGGCCTGCTGCATGATTGAGTATCTGATCCAAGCTGAGCATGGTACAGGGAGAAAAAATCAAAACAGGAATAATATCTATGAGTGAGGAATATATTATAAAATTCAGTACCCATTCCCTTACATACTATAGGTAGTGGCGCTTGGGCTCCAGTGTGGAGTTTGTTAGCTGGGACAGAGGTTCTGAGGGTTCTACAGTGGGACGCATTTACTAACTGGCCTTCTATGGAAGCGGATTTTGCCTGTGTCTATAGGAGTAGATGGGGAAGGCATTCCTAAGGCTGCAGGATGCATAATGCTTTTTAAGATGCAAGAGAGTGGTAGGTATCAGAATTCCCAGGTAAAGCTACCTTTCGGATGCCAGGTCACAGCAGTCAAGGAGTTCTGGATAATTCGCTGGAAAAATGGGAAATCTACTGGATAGTAGTGACAGTCACTGGCCTCACTGGTGACAGCGGGAGGGAATAGAGACTTGGCCTGGGATGTCCTTGTCAGATGCACTTTCCTGGTCACCGTTCTCCCTGGAGCCTTCCAGCACGAATAGAAAAACACAAATATCGGACAACAGACAGCTGGGCCCCACAGAGGCCTGTGTTTGAAACTAAATCTGAATCCTATGTTTTCTTTGCAGATGAAAGACTCCTATCTCATTCTGGATGAATATGTGAGTATTTCTTCAGCTACAAAATGATCCCTGAGTAAACTAAGTCAGCAGCAAGACCAAAGCTGAGCTAAAATGGACACAACCATTTTTCCTGCTTAGGGGGATTTCATGACTTGGCTGAGAGTGATTTTTTTGTTTTAAGTTTTAATATGGTGAAGTCCTGTTGGGACAGGGTCAGGTCCTGAGCTTGGCATTTCTGCAAATTTTAACCTGAGCCAAGGCTCTAGTTAGCAGTAGTTCCCTATCCCTGTCTTCCCCCCGCCACCATGTTTTTCCCACGTGGCCAACTATTGTGGGTATCACCAGGGACCCAATATTATGGCAGAGTTCTCTGTCCTGTGGTTTGGGGCTGGAGGTTCTCCAGAGACAGATGACGTCATGGTGCAGTCACAGAATCATCAGGGGCCCAAATCTCAGTGGCTCTTGGTAACTTGCTGGAACAGCTCTAGAGGGTGTCCAGGGCAGCCTGGTGGGCCACCTCCACAGGCCGCTGCTGTGTCTGCCCTCCCACATCTGAACAGAAAGGGAAAACCCCTCCCTTCTCAGAATTGGAGTGGCAACAACAACAAAAAACACTTCCCCTTTAAAAACATTTTTTTTTTTTTTGCTTTTTTTGGTTATTGTTCTAAACTTAGAACTCCTAGTAGTATTAGTATTTCTCACATAGGACAAATAATTCCTTTCAAAGACATGTTTTTAAAGAGATACGCCCCAGTGAGAACCATGAGAACAATACTGAGATTGGATTTTTTTGGATAAATGTTTATTATAATTTTTTATTTTGCTATTGCAGAGTTAGTCAATGATGCTTGAAAGTAATTTCATTTATTGCCCATGTGAGCTTTCTGAGAAGGTATAAAGAGAAAAATGGTAATAGAAATGTTTGGGTTATTAGTAGGAGTCCCAAGTACAGGAAAGAAAATTGTTTCTGGTGCACAGGCTGTCGTGGCCACCTAGGAATTTGGACCCAAGTTCCTCAACGAACTCATCGGCCTCTCTATACCATAGTTGGAAAAAACATAATTGGACCAAATTTGTTTCTGCTAAATTAATAACTGCTCGGTTCAACATGTTTTACCTGATCTCCTACGAAATGCTGGGTATATGTGATAAAGAATGGGAAGACCTCATTTCTGGCTACAAGGTAGAAAAGGCCAGGACATAATGAATAAAAACCAAAGATTGGATAAGGAGGAAGATGCTTGGCAGGAACAGGACACAGTCGCCTGCTATTGAACAGTGAGGTGCCTGCCTCAGTAGTCCATTTCTTCCTCTTGTCTCTCCACTTTCCCAAAGAAAGCCTTTTTGAGGATTTAGACTCAGACCTGTATGTAATCTACATTCTAGAAAAAAATCTACTTGTAATTTTCCAATGCTACAGTGCCATTCCTTGTTTTTGTGCTTTTGTACTGCACCTCCTCAACGTAAAATTTCAAAACAAAATTCAGAGGCCAGCATTTTGGGGAAGTTTGTCCCTCTGATGAGGTCCAGGGGCTCAGGCGACATCCCATACCTTTCCATCAGCCTCTCCTGGGTCCAGGAGGGGTTGAGTTGGGGACATGGAGCCCAAGCTGTCCCCATGTTTAGCCATGGGTATCCATCACCCTCTGAAACGTGATCAAAGTATGGAAACTTGTTTTGGGTAGATGGAGGTGCTCACAGGACAAACAAAATGAACATGCTCCTGTTTCTGACTTGATTTTCCTAGATGCGCTTCCTGAACTGCACACAAGGGCGCAAAGAACCTTCCAAGTCCATCCTGGATGTGGGCGTGGAGCAGGCGATTAAGTTCAGCGGCTTTGATGAGAAGATGTTTCTCAAGCGAGGGGGGAAGTATGTGTGGAGCAAGGAAGACATGAAGCTGGACTGGTGATCCAGACGGTGGGAGAAGATGCCCACCCTCCTGCCCACAGATGGGCACCCGTGGATCCTCCGTGGATCCATCCTTGCTGGAGTCGATGCCCGAGGCTGGATCCCCTGCCCTGTGACAGCCCTGGGAACCTAGGGCTGAGAGGGCTGCCCGAGTGCAGACTGCACCTGGGTTTATTCCACCAGAGCCGCTGTACCATGGGACATAGGCAGTGAATTCCGAATCCCTTAAATAGGATGCAGTCTGAGTCCATGTGAGAAAAATCAATCGCTTCTTTTTGTAGCTGGAAGAAAAATTCTGCCAGAGGCTCACATAATCAAAATCTTCTTGTGGTGATACGAAATTGTGTAGTTTCCTTAGGTAACCTACATACTGTCTCACTCCTAGAAAACAGTCATATCCTGTAATTATTTCAAAAAAGCTAAATCATTGATTTTACTTTTTGTTTTGTTTGCCAAAGCATTTAATTCATCTGCAATTCCAGTGCCTGACAGAAGAGGGCACGTAGATGTTTGGTTTCATTCTTTTGTTCCAGAAATTCTGCTTCATAATCTGTTTTCAGGACTCATTGATGTTTGAATTACTGAGTTGTGATTTTTTTGGAGGACGCAACATCCCTACCTCAAGTTTTAAGGCTTTATAGTTCAATTTACGTATGAGTGTGTCATATTCAAAACAGGATAGGTTATCCTGTATTTTCTACTTTATGGACTTTTTAAGAGAACATTGAATCAGAAAGTCCCTCCTCCCCACTGATCTTAAGAGGACCCGAGCAAACTGGTCATAAAACAAAGTGTTCAGCTCACCAAAGGCATTCCATGGCGTATAGCAGGTGCTCACCCAGTGCAATCAGAAGTCAAATCCAAATCTGGGGCCCCATCTTTTCTAGTTGGAGGAAACTATTTTTCTTTCCCCTAAGGTACATATAATGCAAGTTAAACAAAATCACACCTGAGAAAAAACCTACTTTAGCACATTTTCTAGCTGTGTATTTTTATTACAGTATTGTTTTATGCAATGTCATGATTTGCAATGATTTTGCGATTAACATATTTCAGTGCCCTTCTTTCTTCGAGGGGAAGAGTAGGAACTTTTCCTATCACAGGAAAACCCAAGCTTGGCTTATACAATGTTTTGAGGTTTATTTTTTCTACTTTTAATACAAGTGTTAACTTTGTGAAATACGCTGTTTCTTGGGAAAATAAAGAAAAATATAACTGCTGTATCTTGTGTGTTAAGGGCAAGTGTTTTCAATGACTGCTTTAAGTTTGGAGGGTGACACCACGAAAGGAATTTCATCTTTAGAAGCCCAGGACAGGTAGTAGGCTAAGGGCCTTGAAAGTGCTCATTATCACTGTTGTGATAAGACAGATGCCTCTTTTCTTTCAAGTTTGAATTCCAGTGAGTTTATTTGGCTGAATTATCTAATAAAAAAGACTCAAGTCTGTTTTTACTGGCAACTGCTGTCTAATTGTTGCATAGATTAAAATCCCAGTCAGTCAGGCATGGTGGTGCATGCCTATAATCCCAGCATTTCTGGGAGGCTGAGGCAGGAAGATCATGAGGCAGAGCCCAGCCTATACAATTTGGTGACTTTGATTCTGGCTTGATATTAATTAATTAATTAAAGGGCCAAGGATGTTGCTCAACTTGAAAACTCTGAAGGAAAAGAAAACAAGAAGAAATAAATGAAAAGACAGTAATGAGAAGAAGCCCAATTTAAGAGAGGCAGTAAAGTTTCTTTCATCACTAAGATATCACACATCTACTCTTGCTGAAGGGGCTCTGTCCAATGAGCAATGATTACAAAGACGGTTGTGCTGCGGGGTTTGGAAGCCTGTTTTGTGTAGCGAGGTTATGGTTTGGGCGGGTGCCTGTATTTCTGTATGTGGTGCTCTCACACACTGATCTAATGTATGGATATGCTGCAGTTTATTAAAGTCCTTCAATGCAGTGCTGTGTCTCTTAGTGTCTTCATGCTGCGGGTCTTTCTTTGGTGTCCATCTATGGTGACTGCTTTTAGGAGCAGTGAGTGCTGTCTGAGGTGACTACTCTTTAACTATTAACAAAGTAATTGTATCCATCCTCCTGCTTCCCCAGCCCACCCAGCAGCAAGAAGGTGGTAAGATGATGGAAACACTCTTCCTAGTCCTCAAACAAAAGCCAGCAGCTTGGGGACCCGACACCCCCAGGTCCAATGCTCTCAGAAGAGCCCACTCCCACAGCGGGGCCTGAGAATGACACCACAGCCCCATGCATAGCCACCCAGGTGGTAGTGCTACTGCTCAGGTGCAATGGGGCAGTGTCCAAAGCCGGAAAGAGACAAGGCGTCTGGTCAACCAGACCCTCACATTTAGCTGGGAACTCAGCAGTAGGTGGACCTGCAGATGAGCGTCAAGCCTCATGATCCAACCACTTCCCCAGATCCTTGCTTACAAGAGTGTGAGGCTTGGGGATGGGAGGGGAACACAACTAAGTATGGACCAGCAGCTCAACCATGGTATGGCAGTCAGGGAGCCCGAAGGAAGCGTGCAGATGGCTAGGTTGTACCCGACTGCACTTCACCAAGGCTCTGGACTCACTTCCTGGCCGACTCTCTACGGGGCACTCATGGGCCAGGAGGCATACAGAGGTGTCACAGGTGTACAGAGGTGGTTAGAATCGTGTGCAGGAGTGGGCTCAGGGTACTGTCACATGTGTCAGGACCATTGCACACTGGGGAGGAGCCCAAAAGATGCAGGCTCCTTGGCTCTCTGAGCTTAGAGTCAGCAGCTGGAAGGGAGGCTGAGGTCTGCTGAGTCCTTGGGTGGCAGAGACTCATGGATGGGGTCAAGGACAGCAAGAGGTCAGCATGCTGGGGACAAGCTCCATACCTCTGTGCCTGGTCCAGGGTGCTCTCTGCAGCCTGTCTGGTTTCCCACCTGCACTGGCTCACTTTCTTTCTTTGCTTGCTTGCTTGCTTCCTTCCTTCCTCCTTTTTTCTTCTTTTAGTTGAGAAAATGGCATTATTACTGATGTGGGAGTGACTAAAAGCCAGGTTCAGCACCCAGGATGAAATCCTCTTTTTGTCATTCTTCAAGACTGGGACCTCATTCATAGGCACCACACCATGTGTTCCTGAGACCCCTCTCTTCGTCAAAAATCTCCATGGTGCGCATCTGCAGGGCCTGCTGGTTATACTCACTGTGAGGAGTGGGCACAGGGTGGGCCACAGCTTAACTGTTTTCCTTCCCCTTCCCTTCCCTGCCTCCTCTCAGGATCCCTGGTCCATTTACTGTCCCCCCTTGGTCCATCAACTGTCTTTCCGTGGTCTGCACCAGGAGGCTCCTGGGCTTCACAGAGAGACATAGAGCAGGGCAGGACTGAGTCAGGCCTCCTCAAGGTCTCTGCTATCCCACCCAGCATGCCCCAAGGCATGGGGATTTATACCTCGAGTTCAAGGCCATCCTGAACTGCAGAGTGAGACCTTGTCTCAAAACAAAACAAAACAACCTTAATTGTTCTTTGGAGAAATGTGACCTGTGTGTGTGTTTTAAAATTTTAACTTAATATTTTTTTGAGACAGGGTTCCACCATGCAATGCAATTCAGGATGGCCTTGAACTCACTTTGCAGCCTAGGCTGGCCTTGCGCCTCCTGCCTTAGCCTCCTGAGGCCTGGAATTACAGGTATGTACCACCACTCCTGGTGACAAAAGATACCAAGGGCTGTGATGTCCTTACCATTTCCCAGTGATATTATTTGTCTTATTTTTCCCCAAGAGTTCTTGACATATAAGGTGTGACTGAGAGGGCAGTGAACAGTTGAGCCCGGGCAGGTATCTCAGTAGCACAGCGCCTGCTGGCAAGCACAAGGTTGTGAGTTCAATTCCCATTTTTTTTTTTAAAAGGACAATGAACGTTTAAATGTGAAACAAATTATTACAGGAAAAGTCACATTGCCACGAACCCCTCAAATCCTCCCCCTGGCTTTGCACGCATGTGTCCCACCGTCCAGCCACTTCCTACAACAGCTCTGGAGTCCTCTCTCCTGAAGGTCTTCAGCTGCGCTGTCCTGGCTGCCTCCAGGTCCTGAATGGACTCAGAGTGCCTCCTTTCATGGTCATTGTGACTTTTCAGGCCGAGGACACCGCGTCGCGCTGGGCGGCTGAGCTGGAGCCACCGTTGCTGTCTGGCCGGCTGATACCCTGTTTGCCTGGGGTTGGAGTCACCGCAGGGCTCTCCACCTTCTGGGGATCCTTGTGACCTTGCTCAATACCGGGAGCTCAGGCCGCCAGGCTGGGCTTTGCAGGCAGGGGGCGCCTGCGAGCAGCCCGGCCTAGTGCCTCGCGCCCGCGCCCCGCGCGCGCCCCCGCCGCCGCCGCCGCTCCCCGCGCGGGCAGCTCAGGCGCAGGGCGGGGACTGAGGCAACGGGTGGACGGAGGGCGGCGGCATCCGCGGCCGGCGCGGGGCGCGCAGGGACCAGGTAGGTGACGCGCGCGTCCCCTTTGTGTCGGTATCGGCGGAGCAGGCCTCACTGCAGGGCAGCGACGGCGGCGGCGCCCGAGGATGGGGACTCCCACCGCGACCCCAACCCCAGCCTATCCCGGCTTCCCGTCTGCTGCCCCTGGTGGCTCGGAGTGGCGCGCGACCCCCGCGCCTCTTTGGGGACCTGGCGAGCAGGGCTGCGGTGCTGCCCCCAGGAGGTCCGGCCCGGTCGCCCATGTGCTCCGCGCAGGCCAGGGTGGGCTCGGCGGGCGGCAGAAACCGGGCAGCGCCCCTCGTCCCGCGTGCCCTCGCGAGCTCCCGTGCGCTCCGCGCCGTGGCTCCCCCGCGGCACAGAGCCTTCCAGGCGTGGGGGAGGGGCGGCCGCCCCAGCTGCGGGGCTCCCGGGAAGGCGTCTCCAAAAGTTTGGTCTGTGTCTGTCCTTTGAAAGAATAAAAGGAGATGCACGCCAAACAGTGGCTTTGTGCAAGGTCAGAGGCTGGGTGAGGCAGGAGACCAGAGCATGGGATCCGCCGGGAGAAAGAGGCCCGACCCCCCCTAGAAGGAGTTCCTGCCTGCATCTTGCATTGAAGGAGTTGAGGAGAGAGGAGGGTTTTCGGGAGTGGGGCCTGATAGAGAGGATAGGACCGGTCCCAGCGAGTTGGGCCAGAAGAGAGTTTAGCCAGGAGATTTTTGCAGGACTGGGGATTGAACCCAGGGCCTTCTCTTTGAGCTGCATCTCCCACTTTATTTTTTATTTTGATTTTGAGACAAGATCTGGCCAAGTGGGTAAATAGTTAAGGCCGGATTTGAAGTTATGATCCTCCTGACTCAGCCTCCAAAAGCTGGGATTCCAGGCATATGTAACCCGCCCAGCGAGCTTGTGTGTTTATAAACAAAGCACAGAGCTAAGAAAGGTGATGTGGAAAGTCCAGGGCAGGGAAGGAAAGAGGCAGGAGCTCCATTTTGTGGAGGGGACATTTAAAAGGTAGCAGCTGTGCAGGATGTGGGGGCAGCACAGCCTCAGGTGTGTGCCCCGCAATCCTCCCAGTGGCTTTTAAGAACAAGGATTTGCTGAGCACATTTTCTTCTCCCATGCCAGGGCCACTGGGCTCCTCTGGCGCCTTCCCGGGTTTTGCTTTTATTAGTTTTTAAAGAGTGCAAAGGAAACAGGGTTTGAAAAGTCAGCCTGGGATAAAGCCTGAATCTGGAATTACAGGCCACGTCCTTGGGCTGGGCTCTGGCAGTGGGAGCCCTGATGGCTCAGGAGGAGGCGAGGGGTTGGCTGAGTGCAGCAGCCTGGTGATAAAATGAAGAGGGCTGGGGATTTAGCTCAGCGGCATTAAGCGCCTGCCTTGCAAGCAGGCAGTCCTGAGTTCGATCCCCCGTGCAGATAAAAAGGAAAAAGACAAGAAAAAAAAAAAAAAAAGAAAAAGAAGAGGGAAGGGAGAGGCCCAGGGTACTGTGGGCTTTCCAGTTGGGACCACCTCGTCATGTTCCTTTCCCGGGCTCGGTGTGGTTGAGGATGGGAGATCCTGGAGCGGTCCAGTGGGTGGACAATTTCCAGACCTCATACAGCTTGGCCATACAGCTTGGTCTTGTGGCTTCTGTCTGTGAAGACGCCCTAATTCCAAGCTCAGTGTTCCACTAGGAGAATTCTTGAAGGGCTCCATTTGGTCCTCGTGTGTGCTGAGGCTCTGGTGCCCTCGGGTTGCTGCCTGCTGAGCCTTGTTTGCAGTTGCTTCCTGAGCTGCAGAATGTACGGAGGTCACTGTGGTCACAGGCTTTGAAAGGACCTCATGGCTGGGCATGGTGCTGCATGCCTGTTCTCCCAATACTCTGGGAGGCTGAGGCAGGAGGATTGTAAGTTGGGACCCAGACTGGGCAACTCAACAAGACAGTCTTAAAATTAAAAATGAAAATAAACAGGGGAAGCTGAGGATATAGCTCAGTGTGAAGGCCCTGGTTGAATCCTCAGGGCAGAAAAAGAAAGAAAGGAAGAAAGAGGAGAGGGAAAGAGAGGAGAGGGGAGGCCTCACACACTCTGTCCTGGAACTAAGTATCAGGTGGCACCAGTTGATGGGACGTGGAAGCCCTGTCTCTGTTGTCCGGTTCTGTTCTGACTCCTTTCTCCTTCACTGCTGCTGTAGTGCAGTGGGGTGTTTGCTACCTGGGGATATTAAGCATCAGCCCTGCCAGGACATCAGACATGTTTCCTGTCCTCCTGGCTGTGAGGATGTGTTTTCCTATTGCCTTTGGGTCCTCAGCTGCCTTGAGATCCACAAATTCAGGAAAGGACCTTTTGCTTTGAGGCTCGAGAGTCATGTGAGGTGACATTTCAGGGACTCCTCCTTGCTCCACTGCTTCCACCAAGCTGATACCCTTGGCTACTGTTATGGTTTGAGTCTGGTTGTCCCCTCAAAGCCTCATGCAGTCATGGATACAGGCTTGTAGAGTTTGTGACTGACTCATGGTCCAGTGCTGGGATTAT